GAATGGATACAGGGTGGTAAGACGTATGAAGAAATTGCAGATATTTTGAACGAAATTGGAGTTTGGCACGGCTCTTCAATAGCCAATATTCACAAATTCTGTCATGAGAACGACATAATTGTAAGAAGGGCAACTTCCCAGACAATGAATCGATCGCAAGGTCGACACATTAACATTCCAAGGTGCATTGCTTAATTGCCAAACCTGAATCCAAAAATGGTCGACAAGACTATTGACCTTTTTGTCATTGTCATGTTTTTGTAAAACAACACTCTAAAAATAAAGCAACTAACCGTTTATCGCTTTTTACAATTTAAAAAAATAACAAAAAAGTCATTGTTTTTTTGTGACTTAATACTGTTTGACCGTTTAACAAAACTGTAAAACAACAAAACTGTCAATTGTTCGTAGACTGTGTTTGTTTTTGAGAAAATCTAAAACGGTAAAACGAAATAACGGTTTGTACCGGGATTCTAATGTGACCGGCGTGCCGAAGGCGTTAACCCCCTAAACCCCATGCCACCGTCTCTAAAACTGCATTTCGTCATTTTCGTCTTGTCGTCTTCTCCTCATGTTTCGTCAGGTTTGTGAGCTACTATACCCATTGCCGGTCGATACAAGTCTGATCCGGGACTTTTAAGACGTCACTTTAATTATCCCCAGGTTTTTCTTATGAAATCGGTTAGTTCGTTTTTGAAAATTACCATACCAATGATGTTCCTATGAATGTGCCTTGAACAAAAACAAAAAAAAATTGTAAAAGGCAAAGCGAATTAGAGTATAGTACTTTAGCCTTTATTATAATGTAGCTAGAGTGCAAAGTCATTACAATGATGTTTGTTTTTTACTGGTACAGAAAGTCTTTAAAATATTATTGAGACTCCGACTGACAGCAAATAAAAAAAATACTTACTGAAATACGGTCACTCATTATTACAACAATAACCATAAAAAGTAAAAACTAATGTGTCTGTTCCACCGCGGGGCCAATTAGTAGACAATACATGAATCGCACTTGCAACAACGGCTGATGAGTTTGCAACTGCTGAGTCGGAGATTAGTATGCAATTAAGAGGCCTTGGGTTTTTCTTAGACCAATTAGGTTTATTTTATGGGAAATAATCTATAGGCGTATCGCCCACACCATCATGCATTGACGGTAATTTACTGTTCATGATATACCTCTGAAAGATCGAACCCGAGGAAAACCTCCATGAAAACCTCTTACACGGTTTGTAAACAAAATATTGCTCGGTCTATACAGCCAGACCCAATCATGCAGATGGCTGCTTATCGCCACAGGGCCAATTTCATCAAAACATCCTTTTACTAGTTATTGAAAGCGCAATTAATTTCAAATTAAGATGATGATGCATATATACATGCAATGCACTGCATTAAGGCCTAATGGGCTTGTAAGGAGTCTGATGACATTGAATATCCATTATTTGTCATTATCTTGGGTTATACAACGGTCATATATGTTCATTTTCAGAGTACATGCGTTAAATTAACCACTTCATGTATGCCAAAAGATACGAGTTCACAATTGTATTAGTCCTTTCCTCTGAAATGTGTATATTCGGCTCAAAAACGTAAACGTGAGTTAAAAAAAGAAGCGAAACCCAAATGTCGGGACCCTTGTTTTAGTGACGTTCTGCATGTAGCCCTTTTCAAAATCTAGGATATAAAAGCCCAATTCACAGGCTTTCTTTTAGTACAAGAATCATTAAAATCACTCATGTACTTTTCAAGTTTTAAAGTTCTGTCCACGGATCACAAAAAAGGTGTGCGTTCTTTCAGCAAAACGAAACAATTCACACAAATCCCAGTGTGATTTCTTTTCGTTTTCCTGAAAGAACACTTACCTTCTTGTGATCCGTGGACAGAACTTTAAAACGGTGGTTGTGTTTAAAATCCCGTAACTTGTAACGTACTGGAGTGATTTGAATGGTTCTTGTACTATAAGAAAGCTTATGAATTCGGCTTTTATATCCTAGATGTTGAAAGCGCTACACGCAGAATTTCAGTAAAACAATAGTCCCGACATTTGGGTTTCGCTTTTTATGACTCACCCTGTATTGAGCGGGAACAAATTTCGGTCTCCAAAACATTTTCTCGGAGTGACTAGTGCCGCCTGCGTTTGGCGACAATGATCGGTCACTTGGGGCGATTATGATTGATTCGCTTAATCATACACACGGTAAAATACCTATAATCGTCATAAAGTTATACCTTAGGGCTACAAGGTAGATTAGGGTAACTTTTCAATGTCTCCTTTATGTCACAACTCCTAATTAGAGGCAAAATTTAAGTGTCGCAAATAGGCTTGATCGATTGCCGTGGTCCAAAACATTTGTACCAACATTTGTGGGAGTAGGATAAGGGGAAATTGGGGTAGTAGGGGTCATTATTAAAGTTGAAAAAAAAATTGTGTCCACAACCCTATGTCTCTCTATGGCGTAAGGTACCTATTAATTATTGCAGTTGTGTTTTTTTTTTAAAATTTAGTTAACAAAACAGATTCAAGTTTGAATTTCAATTACCTTTGCCAATCAAATTCAAATTTTCCAGATTGTCTATAATATAGAGGAGAAATTTAAGTCTCTGAAACATAAACGGAGGAGCCCTCGTTAGGGGTCATTTCTACGTCAGAGTTGAGGCTGTGCAGACGACATTGGCCGTTTATTGGCGCGAAGTCGAAGGAGAAGCAGCGGTCAAATTCGTTGCAGTACCCGGCACACCTCAGGAGAGATTTGGCCTTCTTAGTCGCCAGGGGTTCGGAGTTTGCGATCGAGCCCGCCTTGAACAGCAGTCGGTACCTTGTCGGTGCAGACACTTTTTTTAGGAAATAAAAAAAAACCCAAATAAACAAACAAACAAACAAACAAACAAACAAACAAACAAACAGGGAAATAGAAAGTGATGAGTGAATTAATATTCAAATAACGAATGTTTACGAGTGCAATGGTAAGAATAATTCCATGAGGTGACAGATGAAATGAAATAGAACATTCCTTTTGTCACCGAATGAGATTGTTCTTTCCATTGCATTATTAGTTATATGATTTTTATAACACCTGGACAAATCCTCGTCATCTGATTGGTCAGAGCCACCAACAGTGTGACCGTGCAATGGAAGTTCTATTTATATTTCTCCTCGCGGCCGGGCCGGCCGTGGCCGGCCGGCTGGGGCGTGGGATGCCGGGGACGAATAATTCAACATGTGATCGACGATCTATTTGTTCAGGCGTTGTATAACACGAACTGATCGCTAGTATCAATCGCCATACCCAGAAATAAATGTTTGGGGCAAATTTGCAATTAGAATTGGATTCTAGATGCTCTGTGGTGTGATCTGAAGCAATTTCTTACCACTTTTCTCCATGCTTTAACTAATATTTTCGTAGCAAAAGATAAGCAAAAGATTTGAACATCGTTTACGAGGTTGGAGTCGTTGAATCGGCTACCAGGATTCTGAGCTGCAGGCGTGGGGTTTGGGGCCCGCTAAGGGCCCCGAAAAAAATTGGATTCTAAATGCTCTGTGGTGCTATTTGAGCCAATTTCTGACCACTTTAACCAATATTTTCTAAGCAAAAGATACATTGAAGTACATAATAGGGCCCTGTAAATGAGACACAAGTTCAAAAATCTGGGAGGGGGGGGGACATATTGTGTCCCCCACCCTTCAAAAAGTGGGGGGGGGGGGGGGGGGGCATGTCCCCCTGTCCCCCAGGATAATTGACGCCCATGACGTGTGGCAAGTGTAAAAAAATTAACCTTGCTAATTTTAACCTACAATCATGGCTAACGTTTTTAAAGCAGAATCATAACGTGCATTTCAGAATACGAGTCCATATACGCCTAAGCCAGTGTGGTCAATTACAATCCGAAACCGTACGGTCAGATTAATTATTAACAATTAACTTTCCAAGTATGCATTTTTTCGTTTGGTAGTCCTATATTCACTGGATAATAGTTGCAAATTCCACTTTCGAATTTCCCGAACAATCGGGACCATGGCCTAATCACATGGCTTAATCACTTCAACTTTTTTTTTTTTTTAGTAAGGACACGAATAGCCCGACTGCCTCTGGCCGTACACTTTCTGTAATAGTACGGCCACATTCAGTCAGACTACGACACGAAAAGAGTTTTCGTCACACATTTATTCTTATTATACTTAACCCTGAAAAGAAACACTTACCCGTTAGTTCGCAATGAACGCGTAGAACAAAGCTCATCTGCATCATAAGGAAAAGTAGGCACACACACAGGGAGTTGTTAATTATCTGAGACATCGTTTGAGGATGCGTGGCCGAGACCAAAGCGCAAGGTAATGTGTATGTTTGGCGTATTTGTTGGTGCGTCCTGCATGAGCGCCCAGAAACGTCTGAGTATTATATTACAGCGCTGATGATTTTCGGGCGGCAATTACTTTTTCTGTCACTAATTAAAGTATAGTCACTGACCACGATGCGCATGCGTCTAAAAGCTTTATTTACGAGTCGGCCATACTAAACTGAAAGCGAGGTAAAATCTTCACTTTTGGAAGTTGAATACAGGATTCGGACTTATTCCTCTAAGCCGGTCCGTGACATGAGAAGCTTGAGAGGTCACTGTTAACAAGATGAATCTACCCTAGCATTAGGTAATTTGGTAGCGCCACCCATATTTCTCCTGATAATTTTTTGTAATAATGCAATTATATTCAAACCCCCCACCATCTCATAGTGTCCCAATTAAATGCAAATTTCCCTCCTCATTACTATTTTCCCCAGTGTTGGCCATCACTAACACCAGTCGCGCTTTACCTTAATTTAGGCATACAAGTGGTTTGAATTTCACCAAAACGGTGATCAACTGGAAAAGCTCAGATTGGAACCTTTAATTATGAGGATATAAGTACTTTCCGATCCTTTGAACGGCTTTGACATCATCTACTTGTTACACGACACCCGGCATGTGCACTGCGCTTTTGGCTCTCGCAAAGTCGCCGACTCGCGCCGTTGGGGGCGTTTCAACATGGCAGCCTCCATTCATGCCAGTGAACTGTTAAACGTGATCTAAAAAGAGCTTTAACTTTCCCCAGATTTCAGCGAAATTGGCCGTATTTGGCCGTAATCAAAGGCGGAGGTACACGGGCCGTGCATAATGGCCTTCAGCACACGTTGTTTTTCAGGCCTCTTTAGACTTAAACTGGTTCCTAAGCTAAGTCTGCGGTACGTCGGAAGCGACGGAATCCACCGTGTTCACAAGCATGGCGGAATGGGCATGTCGGAAGGGGCACAGTTAACATGGTTAATGACGTCGGGGAACGTTTTGAAGAGGTTAATGAGTGGCCATACTATGAAGGTAACTCTACTGTGACAGTGCGAGATTTTTTTGGGGGTTGAAAAGTATACATGTACAACTGTCACATGTGTCATGACTAAAACGTGTGCAATGTTTGCAACATGATTAAGTAATATGTAAAATAAGTTGAATGTCAGAAAGTTAACATTTGTTGACTCCATGATAGAGGTGACAGATTACAGAATGTTCTGGAGACAGCCTTTGTGAACAATGCCAATAGTAAAAAAAGATTCCCATATTTGGTCATCACTAATTTTTCCCTTCAGTGACCTATAGGCTATACTAGTATTAGCCATCAGAAAGTGATAATATGTATTAAAAAGTCCAATTTAGCAGGGAAAATATTGACGTATTTACTGAGAAAACACTTGGAAAATTTCAGACTAGTCTCATACTCATAGGGTTTGTGCACAGGGTTAAAAGTGATTACCAGATATGGGCATCTTTCCCAATAGTCTGTAGGGAGACCACGCAAGTGGTTTTCTTCAAGCGTTTGTGTTGGAGTTTTTTATTGTTTTTGATTCATGCAGGCATGCAACTTTTCCTCGGATCAGCTGATTTCCTTTTTTTTTTTTTACTTCCCATGTGTGCCATTCAAAATAAAAAAACCACTGTACAAAGTCTTGGAAAGATTTAAATTTCCCCTTTTTTTGTGACTTCCCAGTTGCATGCCTGTTCATAATGAATATGCTGTGGAGAATTAATATTGAGTTAATATATTTGTTAAAATTTTTTATCCTAAAGGTCACTCTGCAGTTTTCTCGACCAATGAGCCAACTCTCCAATGACGATGCAGACACTCAACGAATGCAACGAGTATTTGAACAGTCCAGTAGGCAACAAACGAAAGGGGACGGCGGGAGCAGGCTCATTTACGAGGTCCGCGGTCTGGGCATGATGCGCTTCTGCACCCTGTTCTTCTATGCCACTGCTCTGGTTGGCCTCTACATGTCACCGGATCTCATCTCTAGCGCCCTGGAGCACGAGACGGTCAACAGCGAGATGATCTTCGGTTTTTTGAGTGTCGGCTTTGGGGTGGTGGTACTTCCCGTCCTCCTAACAATGTTCAACAGCCGCCTGGTGTTGCGCATGTATTACAGCGAAGTGCACAAGTCTTACGTTGCTATGACACAGACTCCAGCCCTGACTCTCAGACGAGCGGAGTTCCGACTGAGCGACGTTGTCCCTACTGTGAAAAACCCTAACTCCATTCTTGGGTACTTTAAATTGAACACACTGACTGCCAAAGGCCGCCCTTACTTTGTCAATCCCTATAACTTTAAGCTGCCGAGTGATTTCAATCATCTCATGGGATACAATTAAATTCAGATTAGCGTTGGAACTTCTGTTTTCCTCTGCAGTGTAGCAGGCAGTAAATTAGTGGAGCATGGTGCTGAAAAAGGAGTTAAATTCCTGGTAGTAACTATGTGTGGGGTAGTCTGAGGATCAGACTACCCCACTAGACTACAAAATGTGGAACCTGTTTGGAAAAAAACATCACATAACAATTTTAGAGGTACGATATAGAGATATAAAATACCAGCCAAATGTTTAAAAATAAACGTGCAACCTGTTCTTAATAAATAAACAAAACAAAAATTGAAGCCACAGCCAGTCAATCCTTTGTGTAGGTAGGGAGTTCTTAAAATTAAAACTACCAGCTATTACACAAATTAGAACATTAATTGCATGTTCCAAAATGTAATTGTTTTATATTCGAAAGTGTAGTTGATGTTTTTATTGAGAGCTTTTAGTTGGTTTCTATTTTAGAATGTGTAATTGGTGTTTTAATATTAAGAGCTCCCTGCCTACATAAAGTTGGCTGACCATCATTGGGAAAAAACTTTTTTTCAAATACGGCCCCCAAATTAAGTTATTCCATTTTTTTGGCAATCGGTTACACATCTGTTAACGGCCGGATACATGCCAGCTAGTCTGTTTCCGACGTCTATAAATTGCTCGGTTTCGTCTGAAGAAGGATCAGGGGACCAGAGTACAAGAACAGCATGTTTTCCCTTGGTGTTTCCAGCATCTATGAACACAAAACTGTCAACATGTCATGTGTAACAATATTTGATATAAAATACCAATCCCCAAATCCATTCATTTATTTCTGAAATTACAGCAAAACAAATGTTGTGTATTACCTGTAAGGCCAAAAAAGAAAATAGTCGGTCTCTGGTCAGACCGAAGTTCCGGAATTGATGCGGCGACGCGGCTTTTTTTTTTTTCAAGCTTGTATTGTACAGACAAGGTGGGTACTATTTGCTTTTTGTGTCATTATACATTGGTGTCCTCCATAATTTGCCTTGGTGCAATTTCCCCAAACCTTGGTGCTCCTTGGTACAAAAATTTGAGGAGGCGCGGCAATAGAGGGCGCTGTTGTAGCTTCCGTGTTAATTTGAAGAAAAAAAAACGGTTGACGCGCATGATTAAAATCGACGCGCGCACTGACCAGAGACCGAGTATTTTTTTTTTGGCCTAACTGATAAGCAGCTGTTGGAGTTTGACCAGTCACAGTGCTTGAAATGTGATCCTCGAAGAGGATCAAATTTGTTTTGCTGTCTGTGACTGACAACAGCCAAGCCAATTCATGGTCATTTTTGTCAAGCATGCAGCAAAGGAAGACCTGATCACTAAAAAGGGAATGCAGAAAGGCAACCGTTTGGTTTCAGAGACAGATTTAATGTCATTCTTCCTCAGGTTACAGATTGTTTAATAAGAAAAACACAGAAGTGAATAAGGTCAATGTTGTTCCACAGTTATAAAAAAAATTGAAAGAATAAAACTATATCGATAGAAATCAATGAAATCTTATTTGTTACTAAGAAAATACAGAAGCCATTCTCGTGAAAAGATGCAAACTTTGCAAGTTTACCTAAAACTGCAATGATGTTAAATATAAATTTATATGCTTGCCGTTTGCGAAACAGCTGTTACAAAAATTACAATTGTCAATTTTGTTTGTGCAGTGTCGGGTGGGAAAAATCCATTACAAGCATTTGTTTCGACTTCAAAACTGCTTCAACTAACCTAACTTCCCCTAGAAATTACTAAATTGTACTCTTCTCTTTCCCCCATTCTTACAATTTGTGTCTCATAGAAGCATATTTGTGACGGTAAAATTTGCCTCTTAATAGGAGTTGTGACATTAGGGTGACAATGAAATTCTCCCCAAGGTATAACTTATGACGACCAAAAAAGTCTCCTTAAGGGTATATTTACAGGAATTAAATCGGCCCATAGAACATTTGGGTGAATCAATTATCAATGCAACTTGCATTTGTACACAATTTTGAATCTATCAATTTTTCCATTTTTAAATATTTTGTAATTTGTCAGTTCTGTAGACAATGTTTGTGTTACTTTCGGACCCCTTTTATTTTAATGTCATTAAGTCTTCTATCTACATTTATAATAATGAAGGAATGCTGCATAATTAGGAAATTAAATTCCCGATATCAACTTTTGGGAAAACAAAACTCATGGAACAAAAGTCCCAGTATGCTGTCGCTGAAAAAGATTTTCAAATTTTTTTTGATCAATTGTGAACATAAAAAATTGTTAAACTTTGTGAATGGCAATTAGACAGGTTCCTTGCCTCTAGCCTAATGCTGACCTAATCATCAAAGCCAAGGAACAGAACCAAAAAGTCAGCTTCACTGCATTTGTTTCGTTGACACATAAACAGAGCCAGATTTCCACTGCAACAATTTTAACTTTTTTTTTTTTTTTTAAAGAAAAAGAAAAGAAAATTCCCCTGCACTACCAATATACAGGTTTCTGATAAGCTATGGTGGCTTTGATAAAAGTTTGATGACTTTTTTTAAAATTTACACTGCACGATATAACACGTGATGCATAATAAATGAACCATTTACATACTTTATATAAATGACACATTTACACTTTATATACAGCAAGCTTTTTTTTCACAGCAGAAGAAAAAGTTTCACCGACTGGCCACTAATTTCTCGGTTGTTGAATTATATCAGCTGATGATGATGAAATATCCATTACTTATTTGTCTTTAATTGAATTTTAGAAAAATCAGGTTTGAATTTCGACATCTTGCTGTTAAGTATGGGAGAGTCCTGTAACTTGGAAAATAGTAACTACATATCGAACTAAGATAAGCACGGTTCAAGCCATGTACAGGAATGAACCTTAAATATTGATAAGCAACAAATCGCACAGACACTCTCAACTTGCATACATTTGAAGTGTTTGATGATGTGGAAACAGAGATAAAAAACATTCCGATGGGATTAAAGTTGAGAATTTCAGCAAGTTCCAGTTGCTGCATCTCATCTTGAGTATTCCTTTCATTACACAAATCACTTCTCCGTTTATGACTACGTTAATTCACAGTACATGTACATGATTTTGATCACATTCAACACTACTTAACTACACATAGGATGCAGTTGGACACTAATTAAGGCCGATAGAAAAACACAAAAGGACGCAACTCGAGACGCTGTTAAGGGCGATGCTTGGCCTTCCTTTAAGAGCCAAATAAGACAGTACAATGTTTGCATCAGGGCTGAATTAAGTATTCCGTAGGCCCTAGGCACCAGTGTTCGAAGGCCCCACTCTTCATTAGGCACCAGTGTTCCTAGGCCCCACTCTTCATTAGGCACCAGTGTTCCTAGGCCCCACTCTTCATTAGGCACCAGTGTTCCTAGGCCCCACTCTTCATTAGGCACCAGTGTTCCTAGGCCCCACTCTTTATTAGGCACCAGTGTTCATAGGCCCCACTCTTCATTAGGCACCAGTGTTCATAGGCCCCACTCTTCATTAGGCACCAGTGTTCATAGGCCCCACTCTTCATTAGGCACCAGTGTTCCTAGGCCCCACTCTTTATTAGGCACAGCACCAATTTCATGTTGATGCCGAGCTCAGAAAGCCTGTTGGCACACTGTTGTATTCCCATAGGCCCTCCCTTTTTTCGTAGGCCCCCGTTTTTGTTCCCGTAGGCCCTATGTACAGTGCCTAATGTGCCTATTGGATAATCCTGGCCTGGTTTGCATTCGTCCTCCAGAAAGTAGTCTTAGTCAAAGACTGGATTTGAATTGGATTCCGATCCTTGACAAGGGAGGTCGCTGTCAAGATGATGAATCGAATCAAGTCTTGGCAATATTGGCAGCGCTACCCAGGAAAATTCCGAGCTTCCTTCACATGCGCTGTATTCAAGCTAATGCATGCAGGCGAGGTATGCTCGGAATTTCCTGGGTAGCGCTGCCAATATTCCCAAAATCAGGATTTGATTCATCGTGTTTGATAAGAGACCTCCACCGCTGCAGGCAACTTAACTGCATTTGTCACGGAACTGGCTGGAAAATAGTGGGAAAATTCAAATTTACATTTGGACCAGGACTACCGGCAAAGTGGACACCCCCCCCCCCCCCGAGTCCAATAAAAGCAATTAGCTTTCTTGTGAACATTTTTAGTATGAAGTAGCGAAACAGAGCAGCACCTCTATCCCCAACAACAAAATATCCAATAGCCTTAATCATGTCAACTACACAATATACAGTAATATATACATAAAATGCACATTTTTCTATAATTTTTGTTTTGCATCATTGTTTTCACTGGTTTTTTTCCTCTCTAAATCAGCAGCTACCTACAGATTAATCACTTTTTTTTCGCATGATTTTTTTTTAACCGTTTCTGCCCTACTGTTTTGTTAACATTTACACTTCAACACACTGTAACTACAAAAATATATTTATGATGAAAATATTTTGATTGTATATACCTTGGTACAAATATAGAAATGTCTTGAATGTAACGTCATTTTGTTTTTTCTTCTGTGTAACATAAAAGTCAAAATGTTTTGCAGGCTTCCATAATCTGGCATTAAGATAGCACGGGTAACAAATACAACTAAGGATGTGGCCAAGCCCTTACACAGTACGTCCCCACAAAAAGTGTCCGTCTGACTATTTTTGGAATAACTACCAAACCATGAGGTCAATTTTGAAAATGTTTGGTTGTGCAGTTATTTCTTAGCCTTGGCCTCAACCCCTATGAGTTTCATTAAATATCAGTCAAGCATCACCACGCAATTATCAATTGATCACAACATTTTTGTACACTGTGACCAAGTTCCTTGCCTTGTTCAATTTCAGTGCTGTGTTAAGTAAGCTGGGTAAAATGCTTAGTTGTGAAAAGGGCTGCAGTTGGGATTGGAATCATTTGCCTGGCTATCAGTCATCATGGCAAGACCTCAATTTAATGTTCAAAGGCAAATGATTCCAATCCCAAACCACATCAGCTTTTTTTTCGCAACATGCAGTATTTTACACAGCTTACATAAAACAGCAATGAAACTGATTAAGGCATGGAACTTCGTCAGTGTCCAAAAATGTTGTGATCAATTGACAATTTTGCATTGATGCGTAACTGAAATGAAATGAAACTCACAGGGGTTGAGGCCAAGGCTTAGGAGTATCTGCACAGCCAAACAATTTCAAAATAGACCTGGTGGTTTGTAGTTATTTTAAAAACAGTCAGACAGGACATACTGTATATAAGGATAATGCACCTTACTTGAGGGAAAAAAACATGTATGGAATTACTACAGAGTGTGTTTTTTTCTTTAAAAAAACCCAGTTAACTGATAATATCTGAGGATTTGAAAATCATGATTGTTTAAATTTAAGGTACAATTGTTATGTGTTAAGTTACTTTCTTATACTAGACATAGTCACAAACAAGGACTTGAGTGACATGGAAAAGCTGCTCGAAACTTACAATGTGTATCCTTTGTGAAAATTTCCCTCTTCAACTACAGAATCCTCGATCGCTACTTGAAAAAAATATATATAATTTAAAAGATGTTCCAGATTATAAAAAAAAAAATCTGAAATGTCATTCTGCTTTTGGTACAAAACACAAAAATTGTTAGAAAATTGGAATAAGAGAATTGTTTTTAAGGCAAGCAAGGAGGACACTTTACATGCAGACACATCAAAGTATTTTTAAGTTACCATAGTTGGAGATCAGTATTTTTTTGTAAACACATGTACTACAAACTTTCAGTGCATATAAGTAATGTGCAGCAACTTTTACTTTGTTTTGTTTCATGTTGTCCTGCTTAATTTAAATTTGTATCTGGCCTAATTTTAATTGTGTGCGCCCTTAAAACAGAGCGCACTATTGTAGCAACTGACTCCCCTCCATTCAAAGACCATGTACAAAAAAAATTGACAAGCAACAGTTCTGTCTGAAAAGGCTACTCATACTTTTTTGAGAAATTGACAAAGTGGAATGTTTTGTACGACTTCTTGCATTAATTATGTGATATAGTTAAACAGAAAGTTTACTCAATGTCCTTGTTTTTTTTTGTGTCGTGTTTTTATCTCAAAAGACTTGTTTTGTTCAGTACATCTTAAGTTCAGTCACGGTGGTTTCAGGTGTGTACTTCTCGTTTAGGTACAGTCAAACTTTGTCGGACTCCTTTTTTTGCGACATAACTCAGAAAACCAAAGGAATCATACTGCATTATCGTTCACGGAAGAAATAATTATTTCAATGATAAAAACCACACTCAACATTACAAACAGAGCAACATAATAGAATGATTTCTTGCTTTGTGTTAGACGACAGTTCTCTTTTCATTCCGAAACTTCCACACAAAAAAAAGTGCCCAGATTTGTGTCTTTTTGTCCTCACAAAAACAGCCCCAGGTTTTGAATTGTCAAATGATTTAGGTCAAAAGTTCTGTTAATTACCAGTTTCCCAAGTTATTTTTACACAACAAGAAAATTACCACATTTTCTTAGTCTCTAAAATTTTACCCCGTTTTAGAAAAAGAACCGGAAAACACTCTTTAGTTTTAAACACTGTCACTCTTTAGTTTGCAAAAGGGCTTGTGCATTTTTACACCCGTCGTATACACACACACAACAATACAATACCGCACAAACTAAAAAAAACAAAACCTTGAAATGTCACATTTGTGGGAGGAACAAAATGAATGCATTCAGAAACAAACGCTATGTACAACTGCATATTAGATTCAACCAAAATTCATTTTTTTAAAGGTCTGAATAACGTTGTCAGAGTGTATGGACTGTTCCTTCTTGTGTTCGCGACTTGCTCATGCTAAAGAAAAACTGAACTGCATGGAATCCTTTGTGAATGACTTGTGATTGATTTGCGATTGACTTGCGATTGACTTGTGATTGACTTGTGACTGATTTGGGATTGACCTGTGATTTCAATGTGATTACAACTCCGAAGCAACTCTCGCTTACAACTCTTCCCCCGGATTGTAAAGGACCCTTACCTAAATTACAATGAAAGAATCCAACTAAAGACTGACCATGACTGAACTGGACAGATCCGGTCTGAACTGGATTGGACCAGATTGAACTGGATTGAACCGAAGTCAAATTTGCGGCAGCCTTTTCAGACAAAAAAAGTCTGGTTGGTCATCACGCATATCGAACAATGAAACTGAAAACTCCCATTCTCTGAGCTGTTTGTCAAGCACGTATGTACTAACACACTGGTTGTTGCTGCTGCTGGTTGAGACTGGATTGAACCGGGTTGAACTGGTATGATCTGCTCTGTCATACCAGAAGAGAGATGCTCATGCACTGTTGCTGTTAGTCTTCTTCAGTTTGGCGCTGGAGTGAATAAAAAGAGACACAAGATTGGAACACAAGACTGTTCACCAGTGTACACAAGCAAAGGTTTTGCGGTATTCGGAACGGATGTTGGATAAACGTGCAACAAGCGAGGCTGGAAATATCTGTCTGCGACCCGCTCGCAGCAAGCGAGGCCGGAAATATCAGGGTGTGCTACCCGTAGATTGCGGTCTGAACCCTTCTGGCATCGAGGTTCATGAAAACAATCCCGCGCCTGGGTCTGGTCAATGTCAAAATAATCCCGGCGCGAACTGGTTAAGATTGTTTCTGCACATTTGTTCCCTTTGTGGCATCTGCTTTTAAAGGTACACTTTGATTGCCAAACGTGAGTGTTTCAAATTGTTCGCTAAGTATATTTCAATTGACTGTCTTATAAGGAATCTAAAAGGAAACCACATTTGTTTACATCTACATTTCTGCCTTGCCTGTGATAGAGGATATACGGTGAACTCCGGCTAAGTCGGCACTCTCGGGACCAAAGAATTTGTGACGACTTACGCGAATGTCGACATACATGAATGGCCTTTTTGCACATATGATTCATTACACTAATTGGCTTCGATTTACCCTTGTTTATCTCCTTAATGCTCGAGTTGTTTCCAGCGAATTAATCCTCAAATTTTATCATCACGGGCTGGGGTATTGATAGTGGAGACCACATGTACGAAATAGTAATACATGTACGTGTACAGTTACGAATTAAATGCATGCGGGTCATTCCGTGTCAAATCAACACGCTTTTGGACCCGACCCTCACAGATTGAAACAATATTTGGTGTGATGATTGGCCTATATGAGAAACCCCCAGAACTGAATTTTTTTGTAAATTGACTCGTTAGTTTTTGAGATACGGGTCAACGAACTTTTGACTAATTAGCATGACCTCCGAATTTTAAATACTTGTATCTCAAAAACTATAGCGCCTACAAAGCCAAGTTGTACATCATATTAAAGTTCTTTGAATGGCCTCCATTTCATAAAATAAAACCAAAATCGTAGCATGAAGTGCAGAGAAAATGCGTAACAAAATGACCTTTGACCTCGAATTACGAAAAACAGTATGCTTCAAATTTTGTAATTTTTTTTCAAATGTTAGTTTATGATGTCAGCAACAATCTTAAAAAAAAATTGGGATGGGCGCTCTTAAAGTTTTTAAGTTATGATTTTTTGAAGAAAGCCTGTCCATGAAAAAGTATGCATAATATTAAATGTACATGTACATGTACATACATATATGTATACATTGTACTTGTACTGTGTACATGTGCACATTTTACCTGTGCATCATGTTTGCCCTTTACAACCGCATAGTCTCAACTCATATCCAAGTCAGGTGTGTTCACAAACACAAATGCCCCGCAACCGTGACTGTTCCCATGACATAACACCACTCTTTTAACATCAACTTACACGTACGTACCTTGGTCACATAGAATGTTCATTGACAGCATTAGTGTCTTCTATAGGTTTTATATGAATTAATCCCTAATCCCTATGATCTCAGAATAAATACAAGATTTTTATTGTTTTAGTCACTGTGACCTTGACCTTTGGACCCCAATGCGATAGGCCTATTTGGATTACCAAGAACGATCCACAAACCAAATTTGAAGTTCACATGTAAAGTATTTCTCAAGTTATTGCACTAACAAAATGTCTTTTGTTTTAGTCACTGGGACCTTGACCCTTGACCTTTCGGCCCCAAATGCAAAAGGGTTCTTAGGATTACCAAGAACAATACACAAACCAAATTTGAAATTCATATGTTAAGTATTTCTCAAGTTATCGCACTGACAAGATTTGTCCGGACACACACACACACACCCACACACGTTTGTTTTACATACGCTATGTGGACATTCCTTTGTTTTCGTGTAGTTAAGAAAACTCGGTACAAAAAATAACTTTACTTAAACTGTGAAAACTCTTTTAACCCAATTTTTTTCTATGATTCCCTATAGTGTTTCTCTTCATTCTGCTACGGATAAACCTAACCCAAAAATGCCTTTATACCTGTTTTTCAGAAAGGGCAAAACGTTATGTGGACACGGCTTAGTCCACATAATGTTAACACAACCTGCATTATGTGGACATCTTTTGTTCACAAGTCCACATAGGGAATGTAAGACAAACTCACCCCCACACACACCCACCCACACACACACACCCACCCACCCACCCACGGAAGGACAAGGCGGAAACAGTATGCCCCTTCGGCTTCGCCGCGGGGCATAAAAATATGTTATACCGGTCTACGTTACTGTCATTTTTCGCTCAACCAAAGTCTGTGTTGCAGTGTTCATCTCCTCGGCGGAGATCTTGTATACGCGTCCTGTTTCAGTGACCGGTTCCACTGCTGTTAGTACATCCTTGCCATGAATTACAAGTGTGTCTGGTCGATAGGGGAACTTGAAAGATGGAGATGGCCCATGGGGATGAAGGAAACTCAGTTCCACTTCTTGGGATGCTGGAAGGATCTCCTGAACACATGCTAGCCACCCGTAACAGTCATACATCACTGTAACATACATGTATCCCTTGATATCTGCAAAATCAATACATGCAGTTTGTCCTTGGACTTGGAGGCAAACTGGTTCCTCCCTTGAGTCTGAGGAGGAGGAAAAATCAAGCACCTTAATATTGTCTTTAGACATCGGACAAAAACAGTGCAGCTTTTGTGTTCCTGGAATGGTACGTGCAATTTGGAATCTTTGCCTGAGAATATCCGCTTCATTCTTCATCTCTCGCCGAGGAGATGAACACTGCAACACAGACTTTGGTTGAGCGAAAAATGAAAGTAGACCGGTATAACATATTTTTTATAAGTAATTTTGTTCTGCCCTTAATATATATGAGTTGAGACTATGCGGTTGTAAAGGGCAAACATGATGCACAGGTAAAATGTGCACATGTACATGTACATGTACACAGTACAAGTGTACATGTACATGTTTACTTGTACATGTACATTTAACATTATGCATACTTTTTCATGGACAGGCTTTCTTCAAAAAATCATAACTTAAAAACTTTGAAAGCGCCCATCCCAATTTTTTCTTAAGATTGTTGCTGACATCATAAACTAACATTTGAAAAAAAATTACAAAATTTGAAGCATATTGTTTTTCGTAATTCGAGGTCAAAGGTCATTTTGTTACGCATTTTCTCTGCTCTTCATGCTACGATTTTGGTTTTAATTTATGAAATGGAGGCCATTCAAAGAACTTTAATATGATATACAACTTGGCTTTGTAGGCGCTATAGTTATTGAGATACAAGTATTTAAAGTTCGGAGGTCATGCTAATTAGTCAAAAGTTCGTTGACCCGTATCTCAAAAACTAACGAGTCAATTTACAAAAAAAATCAGTTCTGGGGGTTTCTCATATAGGCCAATCATCACACCAAATATTGTTTCAATCTGTGAGGGTCGGGTCCAAAAGCGTGTTGATTTGACACGGAATGACCCCTGCGTGGTATTGACTGCATCATTCAATAAGACGACCCCCACAATGGACAGAGCGTATGCGTACAGCACCTGATTTCAACAAACTCTTTGTAACTTACGATGCATCGCTGCGCTGCGACGCGTCGTATCTCTACGATGCGTCGCAGCTACGACGCGTCGTGCGATCCATTTCACTAAACACGTCGTAAGTGCGACGCGTCGTAGGTGTACTTATAGCACAACTCGGTGACTGTTTTATGTCTTTAGTCAGCGTACAGTAAATAGTCGTCTGATATTCAACAAAGAGTCATCGGATCTCAGCTCGAAATTTGTTAAAACGTAAAACAAAATGGCGGCTGTGCACTGTATAGCTACTTTGAAATTTCAACTGCAATATTCCAGTGTGATTCATAATTATTCAATAAATTTTCTATTTACAACTTTACACACATTGCCTCGGTATTATAATCTCGTTTTTGTAACGTTTATGGTATTAAACTGGCTAAGAAAGGGACTCTTCTTATTTTGTGATGACCACTAGACACGTTGTAACTTGCGACGTGTTTTAAGCCGTTGTCAAGAAACTTACGATGCGTTCAACACATCGCAACTTTCGTGAAAATGGATGATACGACGCGTCGCGAGTTGCGACATGTTACATGTCGTAACTCCAGTTGCGACGCGTCGCAGCGCTTCGTGAAATCGGGTGCCAGCCTAGAGGGGGTACTGGTGTTGATAGGCTCACGTGCACGATGCATGCTTGCAGTACTGGGAAACTGTTTGGCTTGGCTGTGCAGCGACACCGCGTACCACTGATGCAGCGATCAGGGGCCGCACCAAACCACTTTTCACTCGACATTTTTTTGAATGCCGACTTACACAAAGGATTTTGTTGTGCTTTTTCACAATGGGGAGGGAACGAGAGTAACACGACGACTTGAGCGAAATTGGTGACTTATAATAGCCGACTTAGCAATAAATAAATCAATGGAAATGCATTTCAGACAAGCGGGACTTTAGTTAGACAGCCGACTTGAGCGATTTGACGAGTTGTACGATGTCGACTTGGCCAGAGATTACTGTATTTTGAAGCAGCGTTTTCAAACAGAAACAAGTCCGGAGGACGGAAAATGCTTAAACAATAGATTAGACGCTGAGGACATTCCGTCTATAATACCTTCTCTGCTCCTGGAGTCTGAAGAGCGCGTCCTGGCACCGTTCCAGCTCTATCGACTTGGCGTGGTAGGCTTCGTCCGGCCGTCTGGACGCCGAATTGGTTAGCTCCATGTCCCCGATCTGTTTGGTCAGTTTCTCGGTCTGGTCGCGCAGGCACTGGATGGAGGCGTACAGGTCGTTGTCTCCGCATTCCTGAACAAAGAAGCGAAAAACAAACGTTCAATAATGGAGGTTGTGAAGTCTGTCTGGAGCCAAAATGGCTCATCAGGTTTAGGTCTGGATTTCTGTGGCGTGAAACAAACTTAGAATATGTTAATAAGTGAGAGGTTTGCGGTAACACCATGTGGAATTATCTCTTTTGTGAGTATGTGTGGTTATGAAGAGAACCTGTTGGGTTAACTTGACGTTTCGGTGTCACCGCAAACCTCTTACTCATTGATCTTTCCACCATGCAAACCCCTGAGTCTTATTTAGAATATGTTCATACCCCTTTCCATTTTCCAGTGTATCGCAGCTTATTTGGCTGCACGTTCCCCCGTGCAGCCATTCCCGGACAAGTTCCCAAACCAGACAGCGCCCTCGTATTGTGTCCTCCGCATCTCAAATGGGCTAATGCTCATACTTACCCCGATAACCCTGTATTCTACATGGATGAGCAGTGAGGCCAGCTCTAAGAACTCCGAGTGGCCATTCATTAACGGCACTGTGCGATACCCTGTAAAAGACACGGAAACGGCAAAACTCAAGTCGAATGTCGTAAACAGATCAATCGTGTTCCTTCAAATGATCTTTTTATCATTATTGTAGCATTTGTTGACAACAAAGACCCTTCCAGAGTGTAACCCTCCTGCTATCTAAACAGTCACAGACAGTCAAAACAATCAATCCTCTTCCCCTGCCATGCCTTTTACGCAGGCCAGTCACCAACAGTCAGATCATATTTTTTTAAGCAAGCACCTTGACTAGACAAATTCAGTCACGGACGAAAGCAGGCAAGTGGTAGGCACAGCTGGCTTATCAATCACCTACAGTCAAAGCACAGCTGTAAAAAGTTACATCAACAGTCACAGCCAGTCAATCCTGCCTTATGTAGGCTGGGAGCTCTTAACAGTTGAAAACAGTTAAATGACAAGTTGAAGCCACGTACCTGTTCTGATTGCCCGAAGGGGCAGCGTCCTGTGACCCAGGAAGTTGGGGTCACCGAATACGTCTTCGTCTTGCAAGACGAAGCGGATGAAGGCCAGGTCCTTGTTGACGACGTCAAACTCGCAGCGCTCGTTAAATATCGGGTTGAAGCCGTTGTCAGCTGCATAAAACCAAAAAAATTAAGGATCTGGTGATCACTTGCTTCGGGTTTTTCAGTATCTGTCTATGGGCAGGGGCGTCAATCGCTTCTCAAAAGTGGGGGGACATACCTTGATCAGAACTGATGCGAGCGCGAAGCACTTACGTCGTGGGGTTCGTGGCCCGCTTAAAGGCCCCGAATAAATTTGGATATTAGATGCTCTGTGGTATGATCTGAGGCAATTTCTGACCACTTTCCTCCATGCTTCAACCAATATTTTCTTACCAAAAGAGTTGGTATAATTCAAAATCATTGAATTATTCTTAGCTGTAGGTGTGGGGTTCGGGCCCGCTCTATGGGCCCCAAAGAAAAAAATGATTCTAGATGCTCTGTGGTGCGATCTGAGGCAATATCTGACCACTTTAACCAATATTTTCTCAGCAAAAGATAATAATTTAAACAGCATTTTCGAGGCTGTAGTCATTGGATAAGCTATTATATTCTCAGCTAAAGGCGTAGGGTTTGGGGCCCGCTTAAGGGCCCCGAAAAATTTTGGATTCTAAATGCTCTGGTATGCGATCTGAGGCAATTTCTGACCACTTTAACCAATATTTTCTTAGCAGAAGATACGTGTAGTACATAAAAGGGCCCTGTAAATGAGACACGAGTTCAAAAATCTGGGGGGGAGGGGACATTTGATATTGTGTCCCCCACCTTTCAAAAAGTGGGGGGGGGGGGGGGGAAACATGTCCCCCTGTCCCCCCCAGGATTGATGCCCATGTCTATGGGCCAGTGTTGCAGTCCGGTCCATCAGAAGTTCTTTAACCAGTCACAGGGCATGAACAATAACAAAGGAATGCCTTTGTCCCAGTTCATTTGTAAAGCATGTGAAGGACTTCAGACTGGATGTCTTGTGGTTGACTTGTGATGGACTTGTGATGGACTTGTGATGGACTTGTGATGGACTTGTGATGGACTTGTGATGGACTTGTGATGGACTTGTGAAGACTTACATGTATGTTGGACCTAACTTCAACTTTCCTTATATTAGTACAATATAATCAAAATAATTACTGCATTCTTGACAAAATCACCCTGTTACGTTATCGTAAAAGAATTGGCATTACCCTATGACAAGCTGGCACTGATCACCGTGATTATGTGTTTATCGAAGAAATCAGGAATAAAAACCTCATAACAGCACGTTTTTATACATTTTGCACTTTCTGAAGATAATTGAATCTTTACCGAAGCCACGAAACTAGATTAAAAAAAAAAAAATTTCTGTTCTTCCACAAACCATTATTAACCCTTACCCTACTTGACCCTCCAATGCATGCCAATATGTGCCTCAAGAAAATCTCCTATGTTTTTTGCATGGCCCTCCAATATCTGCCATGTCATTTCAAGGGTAACTGGACAGGCATTCCAATACATGCCACAGAGAACAATGAGAGTCCTCTGATAACAAAGCTAGTGCCCCCAGCTGGTCAGTATCAGGCACCCTCCAGGGCCTCCAACTCCTGCCAATTGGAGCCTTCACTGCTACATAGAAGTATCCTCCAATAAACTGCAGCTGGAGGGCATTGGCATAACCAACTGACATGCAGTAAACTACCCTCAGAGAGTAAGGGTTAAACTGGCATTGTCTTAAAAAAAAAAACCCTTAATTGCCGACCTATTGTCTGTGTCTTGTATTTCTGGGTGCTGTCGCGTTCCACACCGATGATCTCCACTTCGACAAAGGGACTAGCGATACTCCGTCCGGTCTTCTCAAGGTGACGAGCTGCCAAAATCTGGAAGATAAACCGAAAATCAAAACCACTCAACCAACCGTAATGGTTTCGTTTTATTTATGCACAAACTGCACGGTTCAAAAATTCCGGGAAGAGGTGAGGGGAACAATTTTTTGACGACGTACCGTAATATTGAGATGAATGGGTTCCACTCCTTGCATGGTGCGGGGATCGTAGGGGTCAAAGTTGGGGTCTCTCATGCAGGGGGGTGTCAAGACGTAACCGCAGCGGCCGTTCAAGGCGAAGAAGCCTTCGTTGATTTGCATATAGCGGTCTGAAAACAATGAAGGAAAGAGAGAAAGAAAAGCAAAGTTGTTTATCCACTGTTGATCGTGCCATGATGACGAGTTTTACTTTGGCTCGTAGTTCACAAAAACGGCAAAGTCTACTGAATGTGACCAAATGTTAGGGAAGTTTTACTTCAAACTGAAATGTGAAGTCGCCCTGCCTGTTACTCCCTGTAGCGCTATAAACCACCCAAGCACTGTACGATTTTTATGGATTCATCAGAAAATAAATACAATGTAATACAAAGTAATACAATGTAATACAAAGTAATACAATGTAATACAATGTAATACAATGTAGCACAGGTGTTACTAACTGACCTGGTGTCTGGTAGTTGAGAGACACCATCTGTGTGCCGATGTTCCAGATTGGGACCGGGTCGTAGTTGGAGGAATCAAAGCGTTGGCCCTTGGGATACGTCCTACTGACCTGCAAAGACCCAAATAAAGACATTCAACTGGTAAGCAGTTTATTATCAAAAGACAATCTTGTTATCCTGGTTAACAGACCAATCTGTTAATATCCATTAACCAGTTAAGGCAACCAAAAGTTGCCAGAATTTGGGATATTTTGCTGTTATATATTTTCTTCTCTTCAGTGATTCGCTGTTGTGTCAGTACATGGCAGTAAGCCAGTGAGCAAACTTTTCTCACAGATGTTTCAAACGAACACATTTTTGGGTTCACAATATGAACAAAAACCCCTAAACTGAACAGTGTCTTCCTGAAATGACATCACAGCAGCAGCGCCCTCAGTTGTCCGGAAAAGCATTGAAATTTTTAAAAATGTTTAAAGAAGTGCCTTTCTCAATAAAATTAACCAAAAAGGGATGTTAGATAGTTTTCATATGTTTAAGAGGAGTAGAATATTGCACAAAATGTGTAACTAAGAAAAATTCATCTCATAAGACGCATGAAGCGTCTGGAACATGCAGTGTAGTTAAGTGTTGCCCAGTTTTGAATTGGGCATGGCTTAAGGCCAAAACCTGACTGGTTCATTGTGACCGTCCGCCATCAACTGGCTGTAAAGCCAAACAGGAAGTGTAAGGAAATACTTGCCTTGACTTTAAAAATATATAAATTCACATATACGAGTAAGAATGATTGGTGTCTTTTTCAAGCTAAATAGGTCTCTCTCACATGACGTCACTTCCTAAGCCTGATGCCACGTGCATCAGCCTTTCGGGCGTTAAAATTTTGTGACGCGCATCGGCTGTGCCGTACTTCAATTTTTTTGCAAGTTTAAAAACTTGGTGTTGAACACACAGTTGTAATTTTCCTACGAATATGGCATCCTATGAGAGAAATCTATATGCATTCACCTCAAAAATGGTTCAATTTCCAACTCTACAGCCAGTTAATGGTGCACATTCACAAATCACAAATTGGATAATTCGTCCAAACCTGGTGCTGGTTGTAGCACAGTAGTAGCTTGGATTTGATCGCTGTAAGGTACCTCTCCACCTTGGTCTCTGGGAATGAGGACATGTCGTAGTATTTGCCGGGAATGTCTGAAGGAAGGAACAAAAAGTAAATGAGATGTTTGGGATTTTTTTACCCAATCATCGGGGGGGGGGGGGGGGGGGGGGGGGGGGGGGGGAAGGGGGGAGGATATTCATTAGGTTCCCAATCCTAACACAGCCTACTTAAGGAGCAGCATCTCCAAGTCTCTTCAGTCTCCTGATGATGACTAGAGTAGGCTTGTTGAAACGTAAAGACCAAAGACAAGTTCTTTTAGAACTCTGCAGCACTGTTCTAATCAGAACTAAAAACTAATAGCGAAAGTTGATAAGCAGGACAAGTTCTTATTAGAACTAAACATCTACTGAGCGACGGTAGTTATTACCACATGGTGTTACCGCAAACCAAAACGATACCGATACTCCACCATGCAAAGCCTAAATTTTTACATCAGATTCCCTATTTTATCAATATATTGGAGCAAAGAAATTGACTGGGGAGGGATTCAAACCAAAAACCTCTGGGAACACATTCCGGTGCTCTACCAGCCCTGTGTTGGCGGTCTCCAAATTTTTAGTTTCCGTGTCCAACCTCGTATTGATTTTGCACTTTTCTGAGGAGTAAAGATGATGTAAGGTCATGGCCGTCAGTCAGATTTGGACATGAAACATTAAGTGCATCAACCTGCAAACACCCAACGGACAGCATACATAATACTACAGATGGAGTGCAAGTGAATAAACACTTTCACGGTAATATGCACCGTCTTGTTTACGGGGCAAAGTTTTTCTAAAAAGAATACGCGTTGCCTGGTGTGAGCGCATATTGGAATGAACGCATGATTGACGGTACATACATAGCAAAGAGTGTTAATTAAATTTGCCCCGTATGCAAGAAGGCACATATTCCCCAGAAAGTGCTTATTGTTGATGCATAAAAAAAGTAAAGTCTGTCACGAGCCAATGTGGCCCATCAGGCCGGCGTTTATCTCCGGTTTCAGTAGCATGAAATGACCAAGAATATTTCCATCCCTCCTGGATGGGCTAGTCCATCACAGGCTATTACCAAGCTAATGCCGGTACCCATTTACACTCCTGGGTGGAGAGAGGCAAGTGGGGATGAAGTGGCTTTCCCAAGGGCACAACATATGACCAGCAGCTGGATTTGAACCCCTGACCCTCTGATCGTGAGTCACGAACCCTAACCACTAGGCCACGCTCCCATTGTTGATACACGATGCTCTCCAAATCGTTACTCTTGTGGTCAGCGATGTATTCTGCAAGTCTTTTAGAGTAATCTAGAGAATGAAAAAGGAAGCGTTTTGAAGGACTGGAGGGAAGTGGACACTTACTATCTTCACGGAAAGGTACTGATCTGCAGTACACGATGAGATCAGAGAATTCCTTGGCGATGCGCATCTTGCGTTCATGCTTGGTCTCTTCCAATCGCTACAGTTTTTGGGAAAAAACACAACGAGTTCTATGAATAAATGCTGACTGTTAAACAAACTCTATACTAGCTTTTCTTGTTCTCTCTGAGTTGGGTTGGTTTTTTTGTTTGTTCAATTATATACAAATCTAGGCAGGCTAACAACTCTATCACGAAGCTCCCCTTCAAAAAAAGTGACCTTTTTCCTGTCCCTGTTACCTTGGTACTTTGTAAGTATCATTAAGAATGACTTCAAACTATGTTTTATTTTTGTGTAGGTAGTTTGAAATTTATGATCACTCTTGGAGGATGACTGCATTAACCACATTATCCGGCATTATTTTTCGCCAACAATTTTGAATTTTGCAAAAGGCAAAATTTTCCAGCCAACTTCTGATGTACAGCCAAACGCCACAAATACTGTTTTGCAAGAGTCATTTCAACAGTATTTGTACGATGTTTCTTACCCTGGCCTCTGCCTTGAGTGAGGCATCCTCTATCGTCTGAATCCAGTCGCTTAGGTCTTCGGTCGAAGATGCCGCCAAGTCGATGGCCCCTCGGTTGTTCAGAGGGGAGATTCTGAAGACGTTGGGGTGCGTGGATCGACTTGCGGGTAGCGTCTCTGTAAGTATTTAAATCATAAATATAAAAATATTTATGTAACTGAAAAGTCACGCTCATAAAGGGGGAGAAACACCAAGACTTCAGAAAACTTTGTAGAGAGTGAGTAAAAAAAACAACCGAAACCCACATGATGGGACCATTGTTTTAGTGAAGTTCTGCATGTAGCAATTTCAAAATCTAGGATATGAAAGCCCAATTCATAAGCTTTCTTTTAGTACAAGAATCATTCAAATCACTCATGTACTTTTCAAGTTATGGAGTTTTAAACAAAACCACAGTTTTAAGGTTCTGTCCACGGATCACAAAAAAAGTTCAGTGTTCTTTCAGCAAAACGAATCACATAAGGATGTGTGTGAATTGTTTTTGGTTTTGCTGAAAGAACGCACACCTTTTTTTGTGATCCATGGAACTTTACAACGGTGGCTGTGTTTAAAACTCCGTAACTTGAAAAGTACATGAGTGATGTAAATGATTCTTGCACTAAGGCAAGGAAAAGGCAAGGGGCATGACTGTTTCAAATTCTCTTCAAACATTTTGCCAACTTTGCCTAATTTTTAAAGATTGGAAATCTGAAAGGTCATCGATTACCACAAAAGCCTGTTTGAATTCCAAAGGCGCATGTGTATATCAAACTTCAAGAATTTTTCAGTTTTGGGGAAAAACGCAGCAGATAATAATGGGGGGGGGGGGTGGTTTGATGGTGACTGAATCCCACATCTGCAATTACTCACGTAATCCCCCAAAAAGACAAGTTGGAGCATGAAAAAAAATACGAAAATACAGTAGTTTTTCAGAGTTTTGTATTTACTTTGGAACAACTTCGTTTGTGCCCTCTATGATTTTTGCACAAATACAACAATTTGGTAATCCAAAAATGAAAAAGTGTCAAATCTTGCGCTTGGAAAATTGAACTAACTTTCTTACAGCCTTCAATTCATGATTACAATTGCTGATATTTTGTTTCGACTGACTGTTTTTGACTAATTGGTCAAAATGTTTTTCAGCTGAAATATGTGATTTTGTTGTTATTTATGTATTCATTTTTTGGTTCAAATGAAATTAGTGACAGTAAATCTTTCAATAATCTTCAACAGTTTAGTATACCTCAGTTGCTGACATTCTTGAAAAATTAAAAAAGTCCTCCACAGATTGGCCAAAAGCAACCTTCTGCGCTAAAAACCAGGATTTGTTTTCTTCGAATATTAACCCTAATGTACCTGAATCCATCAAAATCCACACCCCTGTTTTGGGTATACCTCCATATTGAAAAAGGATACCTCCATATTGAAAAAGTTGGGGGATTTTGATGGATTCAGGACATGGAACCTAGCCGTACTACAGGATTTTGATGGATTCAGGATACCTCCATATTGAGCAGTTGGGGGACTTTGATGGATTCAGGATCTCAACAGATTCACTCCCGGCTAACTGGTGGATTCTGATGGACTCACTGGCCACCAAATTTGTGTTGCATGGGAAAACTGACGGATTTTGGCGGATTCAGGATACTTTCTTGTAAATATACCCCAGGGGTTAGGGTTAAAAGTAAACTTACCAACAGCGCATCTTCGGATGTCAATAGCCCCCTTCTGCAGGTTGCCTAGTAGCGTTGACTCGGGACTGTTGTCGTTTGGTTGGGTCTCTTCCACGTAGTTGGAGGGGAACCACATGTTCTTCTTGCCGCCATAGTCTCCTTTCCACCTGAAACATTTTGATATTAGTACACTTTCTTATTTTGAATTTTTTAAGTTGAACAAAGAACTTGACTGGAGCGGGGTTTGAACCTGCGACCTCCGGATTACCGTTCCGGTGCTCTACCAACTGAGCTTTCCAGCCCTATGTTGGTGGTTCCCCATTTCGTCAATGTCTTTGTTCACGGGGCGCTAGTTAGAAGCCATAAACCAGTAAATGACATGTAGCCAGGGAACACGCCCAAAGTCACGATGCTAGCAACATTAGCAATGTTGCAAACCTAGGAAATAGCAGCAAAACTGTTTTTTTTTTTAATACTTTCTTGTTTTGATATTAGGATATTTTCCAATTTTGATTTCAGGATACTTTCTAACTTTGATTTTAAAGGGAATATACATCATTTGCTTTTGCTGTAATTTTCAGAAATGTATGGAATTGGGGGGTTGGAAATATAAAGCAAATATAGTTACACTGACTTTTTGGAGGTTTTGGGTTCGAAAATGCTATAAAAACCAAGAAAAACGATCATTTTCCTGAAGTCTGGTTCCCTGACTCCATATAAGAAGACTACAGAGCAGTTTACATACATTGGGGAATTGTAAGGTCAGGGAACCAGTCTAGCTGGCTCGTACCCGTTCATAGGTTTGTAATCGATTGCAAACAAGTGCAATGGTCAATTGGGGCCAGTATTTGAAAAAAAAAGCCAGTTGTTTCCAACGCTGATCGGCCGATCAGCGTTGGAAATTGATACAAAAATACCACTTTTCTTGAAAATGACAGTATACCAGGTGCCATAATTTTACAGGATGCTTTAGACTGTCATTTACCAACATCATATTAAGGTATTTCGCAAAAACTTGGTAGTTTTATTTTTCGATGTTTGCAAATGTTGTATATTCCCTTTAAGATACTTTCTAATTTTGATTTTAAGATACTTTCTAATTTTAATTTTAAGATACTTTCTAAGTTTGATTTTAGGATAATTTCTAATTTTCATTTTAAGATGCTTTCTGATATTGATATAAGGACTCTTTATTTCATAAAAAAAAAAAAACTTTCTTATATAGATATTAGGATACTTTCTTATTTTGATATTAGAATACTTTCCACAATTTTTCTCTCTAAAGGTGCACTGCTGTGAAGAAATCAAACAGCAATATTTTGTAATTATTTTTTTGACAATCGTGTGTTCGATCACCGTCCATGCACAAAGCTAAAGAGCGATTCAAAAAATAAACAATCATAATGCATGCGCGCAGGAGACCCAATCAATGGCTTTAAATGGGCCAACTACAGGTCCCCATATTTTTTTTTGGGGGGGGGGGGGGAAACAGTCTACAACTGTCAATGATACATCACTTGGCAGTTCGACAGACGGTTGGCAGTTCAATTGGCTTACCAGCCAAGGTCTTGCTTATCTACATTGGTGATGATGGCGTGCTTGCAGAATGTCAACTCATCATCTCGTTGGGCCTTGTAGTCATACAGGGCTTTCACTGTCACCTACCAAAGAAAAGCGTTTACGTTCAATGAAATAGGACAGAGTAGAGCAATTCTATCAATGAAAGGTGATGGTTAACGTTACCTCTCTAACTTTCCTCTTTGACCAGTTCACACCAGGATTATTTTGACGAGAACGGAACGAGGCATGGTTATTTCTGGTCTGCAAATGAAATTAGCAAATCACTTTTGGACAGTACTGGCATATTTATATATTTACCTTTGGTACAAACTGGTTTGGGTCCATGTAGAGTTCCGGGTTACCATACAAGGAATTCTCATCTGCTGCCTAAGGGTAAAAGCAAGGAAAAGCCTAATAACTAAATGGTAACTAAAAGCCTGTGTACGCGCCCGTGCCCATTGTCAATGGTCCGGAAATAAGCCACTACAGCAACTTAGAAGTGTAGTCTTTTTTATGAATGAGAAACGTATCAAGCCACAGAATGGTGTATAACAAATGTATAACAAATGTACAAAGACGTTGGCTGCACACTATCGACGGCTGTATAAATGCATGCGTGGCGTGTTTTGTCTACCAAACTATGCTGCTTTCGTTGGCCCAAATTGTGTCCAAAATGTTATGAATCTTAACAGCGAAGAAAATAAACATAATGAATCTATTTGTAGATAAAGTGTTGAGGGCAAACTGGGGGGGGGGGGGCAAACTGGGGGCAAGGAATCAACTTGGGGGAGGGGGGGGGGGTTGGCAAATCCCCCCTCCCCCGAAGCGCCACCACTGACCAGTTTACAACAAACCACCACATGAACTTCCACTTAGAAATGACCGTCTTCTATCTGTTTCTTCTAAAAAATCATTTTCTTTCAAAAGGTTTTGAAGAAATTGGGGCTGCAAATGATCCTATTTTCCTTTTATAATAATAAATGTTTTGTTTCGTACCCCTCCGAGTCGGTCCACGATCTCTTGGTTGACAGGGTACTTGAGCTTCATCTTGCGATAGAGCGGGAACTTCTCGTAGTAGGAGACCAACTCCACGATGCTCTCAAAGTGGGCGTTGCCGATGGCAAAGAGCCGGCCCTCCTGGTTGATGCGGCAGTGCTTGATCTTACCCTCCGCCCTGCAGTGGGAGGGGCCAACCAATGGAGAAAGATATAGATTATATGGTTTATTTCAACAAGTGGGCGTCGCCGATGGCAAAGAGCTGGCCCTCTCAGCTGATGGAGCATTGCTTGATCTTGCCCTCCGCCCTGCAGTGGGAGGGGCCAACCAATGGAGAAAGATATTGATTATATGGGTTATTTCAACAATGGGCGTCGCCGATGGCAAAGAGCCAGCCCTCTCAGTTGATAGGGCATTGCTTGATCTTGCCCTCCGCCCTGCAGTGGGAGGGGCCAACCAATGGAGAAAGATATTGATTATATGGGTTATTTCAACAAGTGGGCGTCGCCGATGGCAAAGAGCCAGCCCTCTCAGCTGACAGAGCATTGCTTGATCTTGCCCTCCGCCCTGCAGTGGGAGGGGCCAACCAATGGAGAAAGATATTGATTATATGGGTTATTTCAACAAGTGGGCGTCGCCGATGGCAAAGAGCCAGCCCTCTCAGCTGATAGAGCATTGCTTGATCTTACCCTCCGCCCTGCAGTGGGAGGGGCCAACCAATGGAGAAAGATATTGATTATATGGGTTATTTCAACAAGTGGGCGTTGCCGATGGCAAAGAGCCAGCCCTCTCAGCTGATACAGCATTGCTTGATCTTGCGCCCTCCGCCCTGCAGTGGGAGGGGCCAACCAATGGAGAAAGATATTGATTATATGGGTTATTTTAACAAGTGGGCGTCGCCGATGGCAAAGAGCCAGCCCTCTCAACTGATTTGCTTGATCTTACCGTCACACCGCCCTGCAATAGGAGGGGCCAATTACCAAAGGAAAAACGTATAGATTTTCTTGATTATTCAAAGAAGTGGGCGTCGCCGATTGCAAAGAGACAGCCCTCTTGGGTGATGTTTAAATTATCTAAAATGTTGCATAGCTACGCCAGGTTTTTTACCCAAGGAATAAGTTATGCACTGTTTCGTGAAATCATCATACAAAGCTAGCACTGCTAACTGACTGGTACCCAGACTTCTCTTACCTGAATGATATGGCGTAGGAGTCGTCTCCCTGCTCTCTCTTCCTGACCAGGAACGAGCCGTCTTGGTGGACTCGTTTCAGCATTTCTTCTGCCTGAGGCCGGCTCAACTTCTTATGAAACCAACTTAAAAAAAAAAAATTACAGAAATTGTTATTACATGCTCAGGATTACAAGATTAAGATTTTTTGTTTTGCAATGTATTGATTTGTTTAACCCTCCTACTATTTAATAGGCCACCAATGGTCAAAATTTTCTTCCTCACCTCCTGGCATTCTGTGTACAAACCAATGGGGGTCTTGACCAATATCGACCCAAGTAATAACAAGGCTGACAATGCATATTTCCATAGGAGGGTTAAGGAGTTTTGTCATGTTATTCTATAAACTTTCCACGCATATTTTTACACCATCCTTCAAGTCGAACATATAACTAAAGAGAGAATTTTTAACAAAGAAACTTGTCTGATTGGAACTCTTTTATTTTTAATGAAAGTGAATGACACTATCGCTGGATATTTGTAGGGTAACACTTGTGATATTTCAATGTACCCCTAGTTTATCTGGAGTTATTTGCATATACAGCACAAGATATTGTTGTTATTATGCAGAATTTACGAGATCCAGACAAAACATTTAACAACAAACACAGTGGAAGCCGTGAAAGTGACATCACATGCATGCTATCATAACCATCAAGAACAAAAATGGTGAGGCCAAGCTAACAGTATTAGAAAAAAATTACAGCATGCCAAAAAGGGGAGGATGCAGTAATAAAACTCATCAACTCAGGCTATTCACAATGCAGAGCGCCACCAACAGTTTGCCACGGAGAGTTCATTTTTCCCAGTGCATTGCGGGAGATGGTCGACAAATTCGCAGCGCGGGAAATTTGAAATTGTTTGTTTTTTTCCGGTCAGTAGTTTTGTAAGCGTATGATTCGAGTATATGTTTGCCCTTTTCTTTTCTTTGTATCAATATGGTGATTTTTGGTATAAGGCGGCAGAACGCTATGCCCCAATCTATAACAAATTAGCTCAAGTATCTACTGACACTCATTCAAATTTTTTGTTGACTGTAAACTTGAAAAGTTGACCCTCCATGGCAAACTCTTGGTGGCGCACTGCATTGTGAATTGCCCGAATTGATTTGTGCACAAACAGATGAAAATTACAAATGCCATCAGGCAAAAGTGTCAATCAACCAAAAATTATGAAACTCAAATGGTCAGGGAGGGCATTTTACACATAAGAGAGAAAACAAAGTGATATTAAAAATTAACAGGAAAAAGGCAAGGAACATAGAAGGAAACAAAGTGTAGGGAAGATTTTAAAAGCTATATTTGATTTTCTTATTTTGTTCTTAGGTAATCGTCGTAACTTGCATTGTAGTGTTATTACACTTGCAATCAGTTCCAAACTCAAGGAGTTGCTATAGTTGTGCCCTCCTTTGTGGATTCAAAATTATTTGAATCATTTGTGAATGACACAGTGTCGATGACTGATTGTATCTAACCGATCATTACCTTAATTGATGAATGACAAAACCCAATAAAGGTACTTGGTTACTTGGTTGGTTCTTCTCCTAAGGACTTCCACAAGGGAGTATAACTAGGAGGCCAGAAACACCAGGGCAAACCCCTTCTCTTAGCGATAAGTGTTACTGGGTTCTTTTACGTGCGTTAGGCCTTATACAACACACGGGACCTCCGGCTTAATGTCCCATCCGAAGGACGAAGCAATAATGGTTAAGTGCCTTGCTTAAGGGCACAAGTGTCCTGGCCCGGGCTCGAACCCACGCCACTGTTGCCTCTGAAACACCAGAGCACGAGTCAGGTGCTCTTAACCGCTAGGCCATGACACTCCAAGGTCTACCAGTTCTCGGATAACTTTAGATCTAGTTTCCTTTTTAACAGCCCAATTTGTGAATTTCTAGAGGAAATCGAATAACGAAAAACTGAAACGATGGAGTGAAATTTCAATGACTTTGCCTACTCTTCTGTGAAATAAGATTCAAAGCACTCCAAGGTTCTCATGAAAAATGCTGGGTACATTATTCCCTTTCGATACAAAAAATTGCAAAAATGAAATGTTTCAGTTTAATGAATGGCCTGATGCTTTATAATAAACTACACAATGTCGTTGAAATGATGTGTAATACACCAAAACGAACAAAAAAGTGTCAACTTTTTTAGTTTTCTCTGCTTTGGAAATAACTTACGGTTGGTTTTTATGTCCCAAAGCCTGGGGCACCGTGTAGGTCAGGATTAGCTCCAGACCGTTCCGTCCCCGGAGCGGCTTTTCGCGATAGAAGTTTACGAGATCGTACAGGTTTGAGAACGTCAGGCTCTCCGTGAGGTGGTACCTGGGCTGACCGTTTACGAGCTTGCTTTTGATTCGGCAGTGACTAACGTGTCCCCCAGCCCTGTTGTTTTGATATTTGATGTTTGTGGGTGTGTGAGTGTGTGTGTATGTTTTGATGTGAGGATGGGGGAATCAGACAGCGTTTCAGACAGAGGTGAAAAGTTGATGTCAAAGAAGTTGGAGGAAAGGACAAGACAAAAACGACCAAAGACAAAAACGACAAAAACGACAAAAGACAAAAACGACAAAAGACAAAAACGATGAAGACGATAGAAAAGGAAACCGGGAGTAGAAAAATGGACATGTGAAAAAAAGGCACAGAGAAATTTGATGGAATTATTTAAAAAAAAAAGGGACATAAAGATAAGGTAAAATGAAGCAAAATTTAAAAATGAGAAGCAAAAATGAAACAAATTAAAAAAAAAGGGAGAGGGAAAGAATGAAAGGGGATAAAATGGAGGGGAATAACACAAAATTTAGGATGAAAGCAGTAAAAAAGTAACACCATCACGAGTCAAACAGTTACAGAAAATGGATGACAAGTGAAAAGAAAACATTATGCAGGAAGAGAGTCGTTATTCATGGACCGGGTTTAGGAAAAAATGGGCAGAGCATGGAGGATGCAAAAAGAGGGACAACAAATGGTAGAACACAAGTGGTATGCGCAAAGTAAAAAAGTAATGCAGAGAATGGTTATGGCATATGTAGGAGAGAGAAATAAAGACAAAATAAACACAATACGATTAGTAACAAGGCATTAGGGCGCATGCACGGTCCATTGATAGGCAAGGAGGTTAACGTTGTTCACCACATCACACTAAAAAAAAAATTGGAGAAAAAAAATCCATGCGGCATCATGCAGTGTTGCGTTCTAGTAGAGTGCCACGCTCACATCCCGCAGAAACAAACAGAGAAAAAAAATACTGAAAGAAAAAGAAAGACATGCAGTTGGTGATTAGTATTGTCGAATCACACCACAGTTAGGCCACAGCTGGTGGGTGGTGGAGGGGGAAGGGGGGGAAGGGGAGGGGTCCGTCGACTTACTCTTTTCCCTCGTGGCTGAGGGGTTGTGGCACGGGCTCCGTCAGTAGGAGCTCGAGCCCCCGGCTGCGCAAGGGGCACTGGCGGTAGTGGGAGATGAGGCTGTAGAGACTATCGAAGCACGTGTGCTCCACCAAGAAGTACTTGGGCCGGCTCTGGTCTAGCTTGTACCGGATGCGGCAGTGGTTCACCTTGCCTCGCGCCCTTGGGTAATTTTGTTTTTGAGGGGGAAGAGGGGGGTTAGGTGATATACTTACAACAAAAGTCACAAAACTGCAATATTTGTGATAAATTTTTTTCATATTCTGGATTTTGCAAACTGTCCTGCTCCAATGAAGAAATTTGTAGCTGGAATTGAATTGAATGGAATTAGAAGGTCTCAATGACTTTAATACACAAATATAACAGGGTTTGAGGGCTGAAATAAGCCATGTTATATTTGTTTTACTTTACCTCATACATATTCAGTTGCCAAATTTCCCATTGCAGTACGCAACCTGGGCATACAATCTTGTCTAGCTCACCTCAGAAAAGTTCAGTTTTTTTGCAATACACTAACAGTTTCTACTGCACTGTGGACAACTTTTGTTTAGTTGAGGAGGCATCTTTATTGTCCACAATATTCTCCAGTTTGGCATCACTGAGCTCGGGAAAATGCTGATTAACATTTTTACGTGTGCGGTCATCTTTTCATGTGTATAGCTACCGTAGAGCGATGTTCACATGTGCGCACTACACCCCTGTGACAGTTCCACGATTGCTTGGTAATGTGCATGCGAAGTGGACTATGGCACGGATAACCCATGTGATAGTCTACTACGCATGCGCATTTACCCTGTGCGTGAATACTCGAATGCGCGCTTGGTATACAGCAAAGATAGTGGCTGGCATGTGATGATGAGTGGAACAGTGAGAATTCGGCTCTCGATCATGAATATGTTTGAGGTATAGTTATATTTCATTTTAACCTGTCAAGCAAAACTGCACTCACAATTTAAAAATCAATTTGACTATTCCAAACAGAAATGTGTTGACTTTATCTTGCACTTTTCACACACGTCAACATTTTTTCAAAGCTTGTACATTCAAAAAGTAGTTTAGTGGTTTTGCCCCCCAAATAGTAGTACACTACGCAAGGGCATTGTTAAGGAAGTTAAGACGTGTTGAACTCATCTCAAATTTTGTGAAATCCATCCTAAGATGAGTCGCGAGTTAAGATGAGTTACTCTACCTAAGACGCGTCACAGCGTTTCGTGAAATCAGCCCCTGGATATTTAATGTGATGACTCCTAAGCAAGTTTTTCCCTGCTAAGCAGCTACAGGTGATTCCACCATATATCTCTGTAGGGCTTTAACAGAGTTGTAATACTTAGTTTTTGCTTACCAGAATGACAAGGAGTAGTCCCCCTTGAAAGTTTCACTCTCTCGGACCAGGAAAGTGCCGTCGCCCTTCTGGTATTGGTTGAGCAGCTGCTCGGCAAGCATCCTGGGCGTGACGTCGCTGTTGCTGTTCAGCTTGCCGTGGAACCAGGGCTCGGAGAAGTGCAGCTCGTCGTTGGGTGTGGCTTGCTGCAAGACCAGGAAAGGCGTGAAACAAAAAAAAGGGATTTATCAGGATTGAAAATATGACTGTAAGGAGAGTATGCAAAATAGTGACCGCTCCGAGTGGTGCAGTAAAACTACAATCCTGGCCAAATCTCGCTGGGCCCCCAACCCCCCAGCCCCCGGTCAATGTTATCTCTCATTGCGCAGTGTGTGCTCCATCCCCTGAAGAGAACAACCTTGACCGGGGGAGTGGGGGAGTTGGTGACCGTTGGAGGCTAAGGTTATTTCGAAGTGTCCCAACCATTTTGGCCGGGATTGTAGCCTCCCGAGTTGATTTATGGAGCGCACTGTTTTACTGAGGCAGAGTGAAGTGCCATTCTAGTTTGAAATACTGGAAAGACACATATAATTACCCGGAAAAGTACTGAATTTAATGACATAAAGCTTTCTCAAATTGAGGTTAGGACTGGTATCGAATACATACACCCTGTGAAATTATGCTGCCTACAATTTCATCATTTGAAAGAAAACTAACAATGAAGGTGAGTTCCGAATACGGTGTCCGCAGGCACACTTTTGTTATGTGCCTTAGCAAGTGAATCCAGTTACGTGACCCAGAAATGCTTGACCCACGGAGTGCTGTGGCCCAGTGGTCCGGAGCGTTGAATGTGTGGCCTGCGGGTAATTCTGTAGGTTGTGGGTTCGAGTCCAGCCCGGGGTTATGGGGCGTGTGCCCTTGAGCAAGGCGCTTTGTCACTCATTGCTTCTCTCCACCCAGGAGTAGATGGGTACCTGTGAGGGCAGTGTTGGTTACTGTGTGAGGTTGATTACGGCCAAGAGTGCCGAAATGGCTGCCTACCGCCTGTCTACCGGCTGTGTATGCTCCCCAGGGAGTTGAGAAGGTTTCAGGAGTGCTTGCCCGTTGAAACAGGGAAAATAATAATTGTAAAGCGCTTTGATACCCCGTTGCGGCGTGAAAGCGCTATATAAATGCCTGCTATTATAAAAATGTTCTCATACGTATTCGCATTGAGCTGAAACTTCAACAGGCTAGTTGTTATGCACCCTACTTAAGATTTTGAGCAATTTTCTTTGCTTCAAAATAACAAAACAGACAAATGCACAAAAGAACAAATGATCTGAAGTATCTTTAAGTACATCAAAAACGAAGCGTATCAGCCTTGTTAGTTTCAAACTAAGTGCAGTGGAACGCCGCTATAACGGACATCGCAGGATCCACAGAAATTGTTCTTAATAGCGATCGTTCTGTATAGCGGTTTTAAGCTGCCAGTGCTCCGGTACTAATTTTGCAATAAATAGCGCCCTTCAGAACTTTCCCCCTTCGCGCCCTGGTACTTCTAGCTACTGAAAGATGACTCCGAACACGTGCCGACTATTGCATAATGTAATTACACAGATTTCGAGCTTACTACCAGTACCTACAGCAATGGGTGGCTTTCCCCTTCTATTCCTTGGGGAAATAATAGTCACTTTTCGCTCTTCTGTTGACATTTTTCAACAGCAATATTCGGTACATTTTGTACACACAAATCAAGAGCCAAGAACGGCGTTCGGTGAAGCCGAATGTTTGGTATAGCGGTGTTCGGTATAGCGACGTTTAACTGTACTTCAGTTTACACTACTTACCATGTCCAATTGGCTAGTTGTGTCGTCATCGTCATCTTGGTTGACAAGGTTTTGGGTTTGCTCGCAGTAGAAGAGCTTCTCTGTGGTCAGGACAAAGTAATGTGGGACCCATTCATTCTTTAATCGAGAGAGAGAGAGAAAATGAACAGAAACATTTTATCATTTTGGTCAATTGTATGTAAGATATTTTTTTTATGAAACTTTTTAATACTAGATTTCTGCCGGAGACTTTCTGCAATTCTGCCTGTGAACAATTAACAAATGAAAAAGCCATTTAAGGTAATATACATCATTTTCTTTTGCTGTAATTTTCAGAAATGGGGCCTTGGGGGACTTGAGCCTCCCCCCCCCCCAAGAGGTTGCCAATTTTTTTGGGGGGAGGGGGTTCAATTTATTTTTTTAGTCCTACGATTTAATCGTGGTGATATGCATGTGGCCTATTTTTGAGTAGTATAGTAGGGGTGTAAATGGCGCCACCAACGTCAAAATAGTCTCCCCCCCAAAAAAACCCATTATTTGCGGCCACAAATTTTGGGCAAAATTTTTTGAACAAATTCAGAACTTAACAAAAATTGAAAAAACCTTGTGAGCCCCCCCCCCCCCACAGCCAAATCCCGGGTGCGCCACTGGCCAAGACTAGAAATAATGTGGCTCTTATTACCCAAAACATAACAGAACTACTCACGTCCATTGGGTCTTCGATCTTGAGGATTCCGTTCTTCAGAGAGTTCCTCAAATCAAGACCAGACACTGTCGGGGTACAATTATCAAGCAAAGTAAAAAAAAAAAGGTTCGGAAAAAAAAATTAAAAATTGAAGGGATTTGAATCCACAGTGGGTTCTGGAAAAGAAAAAATCGATCAATCCACCACACTGAAACAAAAGCGAGGCTGCAGCTGTGCACAGAAAATTGGATTTTGAACAGAAAAATTATGCATTTTGAGGAGTAATTGCAGAATACCCCGCCACTCGGAAATACACCCCTAAAATCTCTGGCTACGCGGTTGGAATCACTGGACGAGAAACAATTCAAGTTCATTGCCGGCTACGCGGATACTGAGTGGGGGTCCCCTTGAGAACGAAGCAACACAAAAGAAATGGGAGCTGCTGAAAAAAATTCTAAGTCCAAACCAACTACCCTGTTGCCAGCTACGCGGATATGGAGTGGGAGTGCAGTGGAGTGTGACATGCGTAGGCCTGGTACGTACAGGTAGCGCTGAGAATGTTTATTGAGGGCAATCAACCATGACTCCGTAGCCGGCTACGAGGTGCACAGATCGAGTGGCGGGGTATTCTGCAATTGTGCCCATTTTGAACAGAAACAAATTTTGAATTTATCACAAATTCTCTGCAAGCAACTTTTTACTTCAAGCTGAAAAAGCAGGGTACATATAAATGATACTCAGTATAACAACTGGGAGGAATTGTTGTGATTTGTGACGTGAAATGAACTCACTTTCTTCAGTGGGTACGCTGAAGGTTTCATTGGTGCCCATCAGCTTCTTGTGCTTGAGTATGATCTTCTTTCTTAGCTGGTTGACCGTCGGCAGTATGGTGGCATCGCGATCCACTGGCTGCGTCAAAAGGGAGTCTGCATAAAAAACAAAATTGACAATAAAATCACCACAATTAAGAGACTGTATTTACAAGGAACAAACTTTAGACAGAACATTTTTAGTTTTAACCACTCCTTGGCAATAAAAAATCTAGGTTGAAAAAAAGTTATTTTTTAACTTGTGGTTGGTTTGTTTCACGTTCTAGGGATTTTCCTGTGACTGAGAAACAATTTGGTTTTGAGGTGAGCAAAGTCATGAAACAATATGGTAAAAAAAAAATATTTTAACAAAACAATGCTAACAAAACCGAAGAAAACTTCTACATTGATTATAAAACCTCCGAGTGAAGTGGTAGTTAGTTGTATTAAGCAGCACCGAGCTATGCTCTCCCAAGGAGTTCAGATTGTATATTTTTCATTGACCAGATGAGCAGGGGTAATAACAATGTTGTAGACTGCACTGGGTCGAATACATAAAAACTAGCAATTGCTTTTTCTAGGCTTTTGCTTACATTTTGATACATAAAATTAGCTACTGCTAACGAGCACAAGCTTCTACTTTTAAGCAAAAGCAAACCGCTTGTTTCTTGCAAGCAAACGCTTACCAGATTAGCAACTGCTTAAAAACGTGTACATAATAACAAGTTTTGCTTTTGCCATTAAGCGATTTCTTGTAGTGTTTTAAGTTCCCAACATAATAGCTTGAGCTCTTGCTTTTCAATTAAAATCGAGAAAGTTTCACCTCTGGATATAACAAAGGTACTTTAACACTTTATATCCTTTCACTTTCACCTGCAGGGTTTTAAAGCATATACATGCATATTGCTCAGAATATTGACTTCTCATGAGGAGGGTTAAAAAGTCCATGTCATTATAAAGAAGGCAGTCATTTACGTGTCAAGTTTTGGAATTTTCCCCAAACTCACCTCCAAAGACTTCCTGGAATGATGAAGCCATGTTGCGTTGCTGTATCAGTGTGCAGTGGTTCTCGATTGATAAAATGATGGGCAAACTGCAAACAGGGAAAAAGGAACGGTTCATCACTTCAAAAAATATATTTTCTTAAATAAATTTATTAATTTATTTATTTATGATCATTCAACAATTGGCTGGGAAAGCCCACAAATATTCTTTTCGACAAAAATCTTTCGATTTCTTTGGCAGAAGAATGGAAGATGTGGAAGGAAATTACAGTTTTAGTGGTGGGAGGAAAAACCCCAGAATCACATTCTAGGGGAAAACCACATGTCGGCCCAAGCGGGATTCGAACCGGGTCACAGCGGTGGAAGGCGAGGAAAGTACGGTTAAGCCACCTGATTCAACATGTAAAATTACAAGACATGCATATCTTTCAGGGAACTTATTCGATTGATGATCACACACTTCATTATACAGGGCGGGTAAAACAAAACGAAACCCGAATGGCAGGACCAAGTTTTGAATGAAGTTTTGCCTGTAGCACCTTCAAAATCTAGGATATGAAAGCCCAATCAATGAGCTTTCTTTAGTACAAGAATCATTCAATTCACTCACATACTTTTCAAGTTACGGAATTTTGAACACAGACACCGTTTATAAAGTTCTGTCCACGGATCACAAACAAGGTAAGTGTTCTTTCAGCTAAAATTCACAATTTCACATGCATCCCTATGACAATTGTTTTCAGTATGCTGAAAGAACACTTTCTTTTTTGGTGATCCGTGGACAGAACTGTAAAACGGTGTTTGTGTTCAAAATTCTGTCACTTGAAAAGTACATGAGTGATTTGAATGATTCTTGCACTAAAAGAAAGCTTAATGACTGGGCTTTCATATCCTAGATATTGAAAGTGCTACAGGCAAAACTTCATTCAGAAATTGGTCCTGCAATTTGGGTTTCGGTTTTTTTTTTTTTTACTCAACCTGTATTTCAGGTCTCAAGTAGAACAATGCTACCAGGAACCATAATCCTCAGCTTATTATCCTTCCCAACATCTTATACTCAGCTGCAAGTATGTGGATATATTTGTAGCAACTAATAGCGTTCCTCCCCCCCCCCCCCAGTCACGCTACTGATTCAACCAATCAGGGGCAACAACACATCCATAGAATATATAACTTACTCTGACTGCACCCAAGCGTGTTCCTTTATCGTCTTCAAAACGTCCATGAATTTGATTTTTGAAGTCAGTGTCAGGCCATGGTAGATAATGGGCATTCCTTCTGGCCCGTCCCAACAGTCAACTATTGACAGAAATTTAAGACGGTAAGTACATTTTTGTTAAAAAAAAGGAAACAGTTCCAATATGCTGTGATATAAACATTGCAAAGTTATCAGCTTTGCGGAGCCAACTTCTTAGCCAAAATGGAAGAATAAAAGTTTTTCTACGCCTACAAATGAGACACTATCGTTAGTGAATGAATGCTTAGAATATGCCAAACTTTCTAAAAACAAAACAAAACAAGGTATATGTACTGGTTATCAATCACATCAGAACAAGTTTTTTTTGCCAAATGATTAAAGATATTTCTGACAAGGTTTTGCTGTGTTTATCAAGTCGACTTACGTTCCAGACATCGGCAGCCCATGCGTAAACAACGGACGTACGCCTCACACGATGACTCACTAGCGATCTGATCCCCGGTAAGGTATCTAACATTGCACAAATAAGAATTGGTCAAGTATCCAACTGCACAAGACCAGTCACAAGTCCATCACTAGTCCAGTCACAAGTCCAGTCACAAGTCCAGTCACAAGTCCAGTCACAAGTCCAGACACAAGTCAAGTCACAAGTCCAGTCACAAGTCCAGTCACATGTCCAGTCACAAGTCCAGTCACAAGTCCAGTCACAAGTCCAGCCACAAGTCCATCACAAATCCTTTCACAAATCCTTTCACAAGTCCTTTACAAGTCCATCAGAAGGCCTTTCACAAGTCCAGTTACAAATAAGGGTTGAACAATGACAAAGGAATGCTTTTGTAACAGTTCATTTGAATAGCTAGTGACTTGACTTGAGACTGAAGGCCTTGTGATGGACTTGTGATGGACTTGCAGGGCCTTGTGATGGACTTGTGAAGGCCTTGTGATGTACTTGTGATGGACTTGCAGGGCCTTGTCATGGACTTGTGAAGGACTTGTGATGGATTTGTGATAGACTTTCAGGGCCTTGTCATGGACTTGTGAAGGCCTTGTGATGGATTTGTGATAGACTTTCAGGGCCTTGTCATGGACTTGTGAAGGCCTTGTGATGGACTTGCAGGGCCTTGTGATGGACTTGCAGGGCCTTGTGATGGACTCGACTCCAACACTGCCCAGAATAATGATTTTGTACAGATAAATACTTACGTATTGTGAGAGGAAGCTATCAAGTAGTTACAGAGCGGTTGGTCCAAGTCGTCCACAATCTCATCAAATTTCTTGTCCCAGATCTCATTATCCGGTGAGAACAAGTACAGCAGAAACTGAAAACGGGGACAAAAAAAGGTCAAAAGTCACTCCAAACGAAGAGCCATTAACAATTACATGTATATTTCAATAACATGTGCATATTTCTGTTACTGAACTCAGTACCCCTAAATGTTATACATTATACCATTATACCAAAAATATTGAAAATTTAGCTGTCTGCTGTAAAAACACACACTAAAAATACATTGAATGACAAATATAGTTAAACATCATATGAATAAAAATTGAAAGGTGGTGAAAAAATAAGAATACAAAAAATCAAACCAAAAAACCATACAAATCAGTTACATGTAGTTCAGAGTGTGTTCAATTTCCTATCCCCCCCCCCCCCGATGCCACTATTTGTACATTTGCCGTTTATACATGACTGAATTATCACATACATGACTAATTCGATATACATGTCTCGAATGAAATCAACGTACCTCTGGGACTGTGAATTTGGGGTCCGACTCCTGGCACGGTCGGCCGAGGTCCGTCAGAAACGATTCCATCATGGCCTTCACTGCGATAGGATTGTTTGCCGTGGTGTCCTGGAGCAGAGAACAAAAAAATAACTTGATGATCAATCTGTACTCAGGCAGCATAAAGAAGAAGAACAACTGCACGAAACCCTTTAATTTCAGCAGCAATCTGTGAGGTTTTGTTGTTGTTATTGTTGTTTCAATACAGGGTAGGTCAAAAAAAGCGAAACCCAAATGTCGGGACTATTGTTTTAGCGAAGTTCTGCATGCAGCACTTTCAAAATCTAGGATATGAAAGCCCAATTCATAAGCTTTATTTTAGTACAAGAATCATTCAAATCACTCATGTACTTTTTAAGCTACGGAATTTGAAACACAACCACCGTTTTAAAGTTCTGTCCATGGATCACAAAAAAAAGGTGTGCGTTCTTTCATCAAAACGAAAACAATTCACACACATCCCTATGTGATCTTTGTTTGTTTGCTGAAAGAAAAACTGCCTTCGTGTGATCTGTGGACAAAACTTCAAAATGGTGGTTGCGTTTAAAATTCCGTAACTTGAAAAGTACATGAGTGATATATATGATTCTTGTATTAAATGAAAGCTTATGAATTGGGCTTTCATATCCTAGATTTTAAAAGTGCTACATGCAGAACTTCACTTAAACAATTGTCCCGACATTTGGGTTTTTTTTTTTTTTACTCACCCTGTACAGTATTAAATGCACTGGAGGTTTTAATCATGCATACATTCTATAAATGGTGGGCCCAAAGTGTGATATTTGTCCTGTTCCAGTTACCTTGGTACTTTTGTAATTTGCTATTCAAGCAGAATTAATAATGACTTCAAACAATTTGTCTGTGTTTGGTACGTAGTTAACTATTCATAATCACTCATGGAGGACGACTGCATTAAAGGGAATATACATCATTGGCTTTTGCTGTAATTTTCAGAAATGAACTATTTAAGGGGTTAGTATAATAGATCAAATATTGTTACACTGACATGTTTGAAGTTTTGTGTTCGAAAATGCTGGAAAAACTAAGAAAAACAAAAATGTTCAAGTGGTCTGGTTCCCCGACTCCACTAAATATAAAATGGATCAATTTACAGATGCCGGAAAATTGTCAGGTAAGGGAACTAGTCTAGCTGGCCTTCACCCGTTCATGAACATGTAACTGATAGCAAACCAAATTTGGACTGAAAAAAAAAAGGTAAATTTGGAGCAGTAGTTGAAAAATAGTTTGGTTTTTCCAACGGAAGTCAGCCGACCACCGTTGGAAATTTTTACAAAAATACCATTTTCTTGAAAATGACTTCACACCAGGTGCCATAATTTTACAGGATGCTTTAGACAGTCATTTACCAACATCCTAGTAAGGTTTTTCGTAAAACCTTTGTAGTTTTATTTTTTGATGTTTGCAAATGTTGTATATTCCCTTTAAGGAGAGCATCCACAATTATAAAATCACAGATGTCAGATTTAACAGGGTCAGAACACGTGGACCCCAAATTTATATAATGACTAGCTTTTTAATAAGGACGTGACTTTGCGTTTAATTTTTTTAACGTTTAGCAAATATTTTAAGAACCGTTTAAATGGTTAGCCTTTCACGAAGGCTGACGCATGCTCATTACGTCTGCAGACCGGTGCGATTCAATAATGGCAGTCATTGAAAACGTAAAAACTTAACGCCGAATGTAATCAAGTATTGAAGTGCTTCAAAGGTTTTGTAAATGAAATAGGTTTGAAACCATCATTCATCATTTGTGCCATGAAGGTTTAACTCAAAGGAAGACTGTGTGAACGGTGAAAGTAGGTCCCTTTTTTATACTTTCGTTTAAATACTTTTTATACTTTTGGGTTTCATTTAAACATTTGTGGAAACTTTGTAAACGGATTTAGAATTGTTTTTGTTTAAACGTTTATAAACGTGTAAACGTCACATCTTTACTTTTTAACATCCAAATGGCTACTCATTCATGTTGGAAACAAATATTTACCCTAACCGCCCTGAATCCTTCAAAATACTCTTTGCCAAAGTGGAGGAATTTGGAGCATTGAGGTTACATGGCAAACGTGCGTTACTGATTTCATAGGATGCACTTTGTCAAGGTCTTGGGTCGGAGCTTGTGTTGTTTTTGCTCAGCCATGCATAAATATAGGCCTTGATTATGCTTGAAATCCTCTGTACTGCTCCAGGATGTCACTGGCCAAGCCTCAACATATTGACAGTCACTGCCGCAGGATTTTGCAGGATTCAGGCAGTGGTCACCCCTCCACGGACCACATTCGAGAAATAATGGAGGAATTTGCAGGATTCAGGCTACCGGATGCTATTTTTCCATGATTTTGCAGGATTGAGGCTACATCCCAGCAAAAAGGCCTGGGGAGTTAGGGTTAAGGCACCAGATATTTCTGATGGTGAAAAATATCACAAAAATACTGCAAATTGCGCCGTATTTAAAACTGAATTTTATATATTTTTTTAATTAAAAGAATAGGGCCAGGAGAAAATGATGCAGATGAGGATGATTAACTGGTATTTTTTTCTTATTTGGCCTAACAGTGGCCAGAGTGGGCTTTCTTCATTCCTTCAAAAACCATCAAAGCAACACCTCCTGATGGATTCTGAAGGATCAGGGAAGGATTAGGGTTAGTGCACAGTGCACGCAAATCTCGTGACTTCTTTACCTTTTGTTCTTGGGCTAGGAAGCGAATCATGCCATTCACAGTCACCAGATTTCTGCATTTCAAAAGAAAACACAACATTTTGTTTCATTTCAACACAATAAAAATAAGGAAATCAAATGAATATTTGTGGTTTCTTTTTTTAAATCCTCAAATATCACGCTAATGAAGACTGCACAAAGTACATTGCTTCTGGAAAGTTATATCAAGGGGGAAGTGTTGCAGTTATTACAAAGGAGGAATAAAGAAACATAACGTATTTACATTGAGATAGGATGATATGGAAAAGAAAACAGAGCAATTAAAAAAAAAATTGATAACATTTCTACATTTGTACAGTTGGTAATTTCTGCTTCCCCCTTCTTGGACGATAAAAACAATTGTGACTGTACCCTCAATACAGAAGTATTTCCCAAATTTCTATGATTCTTAAAACTACTGCACTGTGTGATGAGCTAAAATTCTTCAAATAAGCACCATAAATGCATGACAGAAATATTTCCCAATTTTCTCCGATATGAACCTGTACATGCACTGTATAGCAATCTCAAATTCTCGAGATAAGCAGCCTATATCATGTCGATCATGACAGAATACTTGACGGCCATTACACTTTTTAAGTATCAACTGTGTATTTAAGTCTGCCCAGTTTTTATCATTTGGTCTTACCGTTCATCGATGTACTCTTTGAATCTGTCAGCGACCTGTGAATGATCAAGTAAAAAACATTTAACAAAAAAATGGTTTGATAAACTTGTTGGATAAATATCAATTCATTAACAAGGCGGTTCTCGAACCGCACGTCTCGCCTGCTTTCACGAATATCTTTAAAGACTAAAGAGTGACCTTTGACCTTGGTGTGTGACCTTTGACATCATCATCATGAGAAGGTTCCCATGTTGCATCTAGGACCCAAATTTGGTTCCAATTGGACTTCAACTTTTCAAATGAGACCAATTTTAAGAAACTTTAACCAAAATACCACATAAATGTACCGTTACATGTACATGTACTACATACGTTTGTACATACAGACATAGTCATTGCACAGTCTCTTTCTTGAACAAAGTCCAGGCGAGACAATAATAACAACGTGTTTTTATAATGTGTACGTATCAAAGTCCAGTATTGGTGCTCAAGACGCTACAACATTATTACCCTGCTCATTGGGCTAATGAAACATTCCAAAGATAATCTCAGCTCCCTGGGGAGTATACAGCTCGATGCTGCCATTTCGGCGCAACGCATTCATGATCTAATCAAAGAACGTCAGTATCCATGTTACATGTAAGTCTAGGGGACAGTACATTGCCCTTTACATGTACGTGACATTGTGGACACAACACAAGAGCGCTATTTTGTAGTGGGTAAATTCTTTTGCCCCCATTTTACTCATTTGCAACCAATTCCTCTTATTGTGTCTGTCCATATCTCAATAAGACTAATAACGTTACAGGGATTCTCTGAAGGCCCTGAGAAATTAAACAATTGCTGCAAACTGCTCACTATACAATTAGAGCGACTTGAACTATACAAAATTTGAAAAAATTAGGATAAAATCTGATCAGGAGTAATCGGTTCCTTGAACATTTTGCTAGTTTTGTTTTACTTCCGTGATCCATGCAAGAATGGCATAACAGGGTCACATTGAACAAAGTTATTATAAAGATTTGGATTAAGCTCAAAGTTTGAAAGAATGACAACTAATGCAAAATGTTGACAGATCGACGACAGAAACTCTATGGGCTCCGTGCGCCAACAAAAGAGGGTGCGTTTTTACCACTTTTGAGAGCTCCTTGGATGGTACACCGGGTGTGCATACTGTACTGGTTCGCGTGCGAAGTACGCACGACTTATCTATCCTGAATGTGCACAAAAGTTAAGCCAAAGCGCCCTCGCGTATGAGCATCAGGCGTCATCGGCGTGCAAATATGTTCAAATTTAACTTGCGATGGTCTCCCAGACTAATCCCCGCCCCCAATAACTTTGGATCATTCGAAACACGCAGTGGATGGACCGGGAACCAGTCTAGGTCTCCCCCAACTCTCCTTTTCTGGCCGTTGAAGGGGTACTTGTGCACGGAGCCAATAGTCGCTCAAGATTTCTTTTTGATTTGGCAAAACTGTGGAACTTTGGGACAGATGATTTTGGTTCAACGGTCCTAAAGACACTTCCGCAAGAACACAAAACAAAAAAATGCAACATCCTCACAAAAAAATCTTTGAACTGATAGACAAGAATTTCTTGACTCACCTCCCTCTGGAAGATGAGGTTGTGGTAGAGCTGAACAAAGCCGTCAAAACCAATTTCTTGCTTGTTCCACCGATCCACTTCCTGTTGGCAAATTGCCAAAACAAACAAAAAGCAATTAACATTGGTATTTACCCTGTATAAAGTGAGCAAACAGTGTTGATGGTTTTTGTTTTGTTGATGTTTTTGCAAAATGCATTTTATTCTGACCTTGACTTAATTTAGAGTACAATAGTGCTGGTACCTGTAGAAAAATCCAAATTATGAAAAAATTCATAAATTCATATAATTTATGTTACCATGATTATTTTACAAGCTGCAGCATTTCAAGTTTAAATCAATTTAATCGGTTTCGTTGATGAGTTTGAGAAAAATAAATTTAAAAAAAGAAAAAAAGATAAGAAAAATGGGCTTGTGGAAGAAAGCGGGAATGAAAATATTAACTTATCAAAATTTAAAAAATTCGAAACTATTATTAAACAAAATCACACAGAACAACCACTTCATGGCTCCCCTAAAAAGAAAAAGTTAATATCATCCTGTGATTTAAATGACCAAAAAGAAAAAAATATGTTATTACCCCGAAAAAAATGTAAGTTATCTGCAAAATACTTTTACATATCATTAAACTTCAACCTTAACATCCCCACTCCATCAAAATCCATCCCCCAGTTTGATGGATTTTGGGGGACTTGGTCCTGCAGGCCTGGTTTGACTAAATATTGATGGAGCATGATGGACTTGGGAGTGAAGGTCTAAAGCAAAGCATGCAATGGAAGCAGTGTGATTGACGGATCCGGGCAGACTTGGTCCAGTATTTTGTCCGTGAATATACTCACATTGAAATATTCTTTAAGGTCCTTTGTGTTCATTTTCAGGTTGACGTATGGCATGAATGACTTCATGTCCCTAAGTGACACCCTGGAATGATAGACAAACAGAGAGAGAAAAATAGTTCATTGATGGCTTTAATTTTTTCTCATGTACAATAAGATAAAGTTTAAGTTCTTTTCACTGATCTGAATGGTCATGTGTGAAAATAAAGTCTCTTTAACCAGTTCGGGCCGGGATTATTTTGACATTGACCAGACCCAGGCGCAGGATTGATTTTCACGAACCTCGATGCCAGACGGGTTCAGGCCCTCATCTGCGGGTAGCACACCCTGATATTTCCGGCCTCGCTTGATGCAAGCAGGCCGCTGACAGATATTTCCGGCCTCGCTCATTGGCGTGTTTTTTTCGTCATCTGTTCCGAATACCACGTCATCTGACGTGAACTGGTTATTTCTCAATACACTAGAATTTCTGACTAGCGTCTGTTGAATAATGTTGGTGGAGCACTGGAAGGGCAATCTGGAGGTCACAGGTTCAAACCCCGCTCCAGTTATTTTCTTTCTTCAAAAAATATTGCGATTTCCAAATCTTTTGGGGTCTTATCCCCATCTGGACCTGCTGATGATCCACCAGATTTATTCCCTTCAGAAGTCCTTTATTCCGGATTTTGATTTCTCAGATCCACAGGGATATACTCACGTATCATTCTTTGTTTTCCCCATGGCGTAGAACTCCCGTCGTAACCACCTGCACGGAACAACAAAGATAAAAGATATATTTGTTTCAATTTCCCAAATTTCCAGGCCCTTAAGCCACCCTCACGTCGAACTGCGAATTGCTTGCGCCAAGACAGAACTGTTGGCTTCAAGAAGAAAAAGAATGCTCAGATCACAAAACTGAGAAATCGTGTGATTATCATGGAACAAGCGGCATCTCGACACAGAATAATCGCAACCATGCTCATGACACCCACGACGCAACGACGATTCACGACGGTCGACTGCGACTGATTCTGTACCTTTTCAGGTATCTGATCTCCTTAATTATTGTTTAGTTTTCTTTGTAAAGCGCTTTGAACATGTTAAGAGCACTATATATAAGTACTGTATTACACGTGTAAAGGTACCACTAAGGAAACACTTTATCGTTATTTTTTCGCAAGATGGGAGTAATGTCACATTCCCCCTTTAGAGGCAAAATTTTATTGTTGAAATTAGGTTATTTTTGTTGCTCGTGGTCTAATTAGTAAACATACCGAAATTGGTGGAAAAAGAACAAGGGAATATTGGGTTAGGGCACATTTAAATTTGAAAAATTGTGTGCACGAGTCTATGGGGATGACTTCCAAATGTCTAATCCAGGGTAATATTATTATGATGATTATTATTATTCCCGTCTGCCGGGGACACGTTCCATTACAACGCAGAAGTTGAATTTTTTCCTACTCTTGCATTTTAAAATTTATTTTGAGCACCAACTGGTACTAATCATCTTAAAATTGTCGCAACTACACTCAGGTTGCTAAAAAATCGGCAACTGATATGTTCCTGACGGTTGTAGCTCAGGCTCAGCTTGATCCTGAAAAGTCAGCCGCCAACTGATGTAATTCTGTGTAGGCGCAAGGTCGACCTAAGGCCGGCTTTACCAGTCCTTCTGATTTAAAAATCACAGGCGTGTGGAAAAAAGGCACACCTGGATTTTTCTAGGTGTGTGATTTTTCTAGGTGTGTGATTTTTCTAGGTGTGTGATTTTTCTAGGAGTGTGATTCTGCGGTTGCAGCTAGGACTGAACAATCTGGTATTTTGTTTTTATAATATTCATCTTGGTTTTTACAGTATAGCCATTTACTCTTCACCAACATACTTTTTTTTACACAAATTATGAAGTATAATTATGTCATAAATGTATGCCGAGGTGTGCGGTACAGAGGGATTCAGGCGTGCGATTATTGGCACTTCTCAGGAAGCTTTTAGGTGTGCGATGGCATGGGGGTGCGATCGCACGCCTCAAATCAGAAGGCCTGCTTTACATTGTACATGTAAATATCTGACTCCAACAATAATGCATTTTTTTAAAATAAGTAATGGCCTGGAAAAAAAGCAGAAAGGAAAATGCCATGATGTAAAAATAGAAACCTTTTGAGCTTACAAAGGAGATCATTCACGACTTGAAAGAGAAATTAACACCTGCAACTTTGGTTCTTTGTTTGCAAAGCCTTCAATAAAATTTATCAATAATGATGGAATTCATTTTTCGTTCATCATTTCACATGATTATTTATTAAGTATCACATTTCAAAACCAGTCCGCTGTCACTTCCTGGAATGAATGCATTGCTTCCTGGTCAACGCTCTTCCTCTGTTCAATACTGTCACTTTCCATTTTGACCACACGTACCAGGGTAGGCCTATGAATGTATTTTTAAAATCAATGTCAGTGGCTACAAATAAATGCAAGTGTAATTTCAGGGTCTGTTGTCTGTACATGTAGTGAACATGTCCGTTGGCAATGCACTATTAATTACAGCGTGTGCCAATTTGTTCAGCTTTTTATGAATTACAAAAGTCAACATTTCTTGTCCAAATCTTAGGAGGATGGGAAATGCAAAACGTGGCGGGAGAGGTCTGTTCGTGGCTGTATTTCCAGTAAATTACAGATTTTGAACAATAGTATTCTTTATCTTCCTATTTTTTTGCTTTTCTTTTTCCTTTTTTTTGGAGGGGGGGGGGGGGCTGAGGAGGGTGCATGCCTACTGTTTACACACTGCAATAATTGATGGGTGGCCGAGTATTAAAATTGGTGTACCCTCCCCCTTATAAAAAAAAATTGGGTGGGTGGGGGAGGGGATGTGACACCCCCCTTCACCCTAAGCACCATCGATATATCGATATTACTTGAATATTCAATATTATAGTGATATCAATATCGCCGATAGCATTTTTTTTTAATCATATCGAAATATATTGAAGTATTCGATATTGAGGAATCATATTGAAAATATCGAAAATGCGTTAGACTATTGTCAAAATAAATCTCCCGTTTGTGCTAAAACTTTGTGTTTATAGTTTGCTGTATAATGAAATAAAACTTGGCGGCAATTTGTGACTCAAAATAAAAACATCGGGAAATGACTAGCGGCGTCACTTTGTGCTCTGCGTTTGCTGAAATTCGCGGTCTCCCCCGATGTAAAACCTTAAAAGAAACAGCCCGTTCTGGACAAACTGTCAATGCAACGATTTGTTTTTAAAAATTTGAGCAATATGCTCCAGAGAAAACCGTGGAAAATTGGGACTTACGATGTTTTTTTAAAAATCAAAGTGTCATTTTTATGGTCTATAACTTTTACATGGGATACATGAAATCGATATATTGAATATTCTCGATATTGGATTTCCGATATCGATTATTGATAATTCAGATATCGACTGTGCTTACCCCACCCTCCATCGCAACCCATGACATCTTCACAGCAGACTAGTTATGTAGACACAACCAAATCTCAATTAAGAAAAAATAAATTTACATCACACGCACTTCATTCAAGTCAAATAAAAATCGCATTCATAAATCTCTCTTTAAAGGGAATACATGTACATGTGTATACGTACATCATTGGCTTTTGCTGTAAATTTCAGAAATGAACTACATTGTATTTGAGGGGTTAGTACAATAGATCAAATATTGTTACACTGACAAGTTTGAAGATTTGTGTTCGAAAATGCTGGAAAAACCAAGAAAAACAAAAAATGTTCAAATAGTCTGGTTCCCTGACTCCACTAAAATGAAATGAATCAATTTATAGATGCCGGAACATTGTAAGGTAAGGAAACCAATCTCTAGCTGGCCTGCACCCCGTTCACGAACATGTAACCAATAGCAAACAAAGTTTTGACTGAAAAAAAAATGGTAAATTTGGAGCAGAAGTTGAAAAATAGTTAGGTTTTTCCAATACAAAATACCACTTTTCTTGAAAATGACTTCACACCAGGTGCCATAATTTTACAGGATGCTTTAGACTTTCATTTACCAACATCCTAATACATTCGTAAAAATTTGGTAGTTTTGTTTTCTGATGTTTGCAAATGTTGTATATTTCCTTTAAACCTACATGTTAGATAATACTCTCCTCCTACAGATTCATAGCACAGATTCTGCATATTATATTTATGAGTAAGCTCCTTTCGTGTGATTAAATATTTAGCATTTTTCATCCCCATCGATCCCAATGAGCATATCAGCCGACAACCATTAATTTATCTCATCTTTTCTTATCTGCTCTGATGAAGGAAATGAAACAGATTTAATGTTCCTAATGTTTCGCTCATTTATTTGTCTGATGGAATAATAGTAGTAATATTAAGTAAAACAATACTAAGGCCAAAAAAAAAAAAGTCTCCGGTTTCTGGTATGGAGCTTGCCCAAAAAGTGGTGCGCCGACGCAGCTTTCCCCCCCCCCCCCCCGATTTTTTTGCTTCAAATGTCGGCTGATGACTGCAAATGGTGCCCGACTAAACTAAGTGCAAATATATGGGAGTCCAGAGAGGCCACATAAAGCTTATTCTCGACCATAACCCAATCTAAACACACGTTAAAATTGTGCAGCAGCAGGATTCCAGTCAAACCATTGAGTTTGGCGGTTTTGAGACATCATCTTTCATTGAAAAAAACCTTTTTCATTTTGCCGACGCGCATGGCTACGGCGATGCGCATGCATTCCAGAAACCGGAGACTTTATTTTTTTGGCCTAATGCTTCTAATGTCATATTATTAATTTTACTTCTGTAATAATTCATAATCGTTTGTGTTTTATAACTATTAAGTTTAAGTATTTCTCTTGTGTGTGTGTGTGTGTGTGTTAAATTCAAACTTATATGGTTTATTCACGGGGGTTGGCCAAGTACAATGTACAAGCTTCGGCTTTCTGCCAGCCTCCACAATTCATCACTCGATTGCTGTATACGTATATTCCACTCAAGGTACCGGTACAGTCCATTATTTGTTATTTGTGCATTACATAAAAAATGTACATTGTATGTTCCTTTGAAGCAACAAACGTGGTCAAATTCTAAAGAAGGGTGCTGAACAACTAACAGATGAAATTTAAGCTCAGTGAATGCTGTATATTCCGAGAAAAACAACATTCTAGGATTGCGATTTCAAATCCAAAGTTGCTGAATCATGTTTTGAATTGGGCCTGAGACACTTTCTCACTGAGCCGATTGCAGCTATGTGATGTTGCACTCTGATCAGACGAATTAAAGCAACTGCGCATGGGTGGGCATCGTGTCAACACTTGTGCGCACTTCGCCATATATAATAGCGAACTAGTAACGGACATTTCCAATGATGCGTCTTTAGACGCATCTTGGAAAGGCCTTCTTTCATTGATTTCTTCAAAACGACAGCATGCCAGAAAGAATTATTTCACAGGGAGTCTAGTCCCCTTACTGTCTTTCAACCGAGTATGTTTTTCAACAATAATTACGCCAGTTACTTTTTGGATAGCTGCAAATGATGGACTGTACATGAAGCTTTAAGTAATTGTTCAATGTTCATTATGATTATATACATGTAATGATGTTTGGAATTTTTATAAATTCAGATCAAAATCTATGCCTGGACAATATGGCTTTTTGCACATAAATACACCAGGCGTAAGAATGAATTTCAATGAAAAAAACCCAGGAAACTTGTGTAAAAACAGGAAAAAAGATGTGAAATAAGGCATAACAGGCTCAAAATGTGGGC